ACATGGTATATGGAACAGACAGAAACAACAATGTAGACATGGTATGCGGGACGGAGGAAGTATTTTTAAAAAATATAATTATATTTTTTAATTACATTATAAATTCTACAATCTACAATTTATAATATAATTAATATTATTTAGCTATTTTAATGTTAATCTATAATAATTTTTTTTACAATAATTATTTTTACTATTAAATTTTTTAATTATTTATTAATCATATTTATCTAAATTTCACATCTACAATAAATCGCACATAAAATATGGGACGAAATAAGTATAATTTATTTCTCATATGTTGTCCCCATCCTACCTAAATAATTACAAAGTAATTTTGTACTAATTAAATTTTAATGTACTGATAAACAAAAACACAAATACAAAAGGTTAGTTCACTTTTAAAATACGACAATTTTTTTTTATATTTAATATAAAATTACATATATACTTTTTTTTAAAAAAAAAAAAATGAAAACATGTAGTATGTATAATCAAGCAAAGAGCCCAATAGCTGAAGTCCAGTTGAAAGTCCAAATATAATAAATTAACTAATTTGAATAATATTTAAATTTAATATTTTTACAAAATTGAAAATATATTTTTATTCAGAACATAAAAGTTTTATAATAAAAATTTATAATTGAGTGAAAGGAAACAAATACTAATAATGGTTTGAGTTGTGTAATAATACTTATACAATAATATTATAGTTTTGTTTCGACAATTATTTTGAAAATTTGGCACTATTTATTTATTTATTTTTAAAAATATATTATATCAAAGATATATTTTTTTTTTCTTAAAAGACGTTAAATAAAATATTAATTATATATATATATATATTTCGGCCCGGCCCAGTATAGTTCTGAGACCATTTTATTTTATCCAAATTTAGGATGAACTAAAGCTGAGCCGAATGGAATTGTGCCAGTCTAGTTTGGGCCAGCCCAACCAGATAATTTGATGTTATATATATATATTTCCAAGTTTTTTTCTATTGATTAAAAAAAAAAAAAAATCCTAAACAAATTATAAAATCAAACATATATTTTTTATATTGTATATTATATTCTATCATCAATGTATTTATTTTACTACTTTGATTGGTTCAAAATCAATTTATTTATAGTAAAGATACTTTTCATATATATATTTTTAGAAAAATCTCATACTTCCTCTCTCCCAATAGAACAGTCTTATTTTCATAAATAACCATATCACCGTAAAATTACCATTACTTTTTAATTTTTATTATACAGTTATCATTACTTTTTACAGTAATACACTTACAAGGACAATAAAGTCTTTTATCCATACTTTTTACTAACTACCGATATAATATCAATATTCCTTAAATTCTGTGTCTAACCCAATTAAAATTATATTCATGGGACGGAGAGAGTATATTTTACGAATTATTACATATCATCTTTTATATATATAGAATGGTATTAAAATTTTAAGAGTATAATTATCTACTTACCCATCTATTTTATATTTTTATAATATAATATTAATATTTTAAAATTTATATGAAAAAAAGTAAACATATCATACATAAGTATTAAAAATATATTTCATTAATTTATATTTATATTAAATAATTATTTAAATAAAGAGTTTAAGAAATTTAAATTCAAAACATCAAACAAACACTCCTTGAATGGTAACGGACTGTTTTTAAATATGGAAAGTCTTTTTAAGGACCTTTGGTCCAGATTTCTTATGCTTGGCGTTCAAGTTCGCCTGTTTTTAAATATGGTAAGGGTGTGTTTGTTTGGGGGTTTGGATTTTGGATTGAGATTTGAATAGTAAAAATTTTGAATTTGAATAGTTGTATGATGTGATATAAATAGGGTTTGATGTGATGTTTTGAATGTAAAATTGATTTTTAGTATAATATAAAAAATGAAAAATAGGTGTTTGATTTGATGTTTTTGGGGGGAAAAAATTGGATGAATAGTGGAAATCCTCCAAAATTCTTCAAACAAACACACCCTAAAAGTTTTTTTAAGGACCTTTGGTCCAGATTTCTTATGCTTGGCGTCCAAGTTCGCTTGCTCTCCAAATATTCCTTTTCTTAAATATTGATAATCTTTTTATAAATATATAAAATATTATTGGGTAAACTTCATATGCTCTTTCAAAAGATATTTTTAAACAATACAATATATTTTCCAATATTCAATATTGAGTATAAAAGTATGTTATGTGTTAAAATGAATTATTGTATATGTTATGTAAAAGTATATTATGTGTCGTGATTGTACTATATTAATATAAATGATATGTTATCAATAATAATATCGTGTGTTGTTTGTTCAGCACAATACTTAATTTAAATTTAGCATTGTAATCGTCACCATTAATATTATTATGTACATTGAATATTGTTTTAATAAAAAAAATTAATTAGATGAACAAACTCAGGGTATGTTTGTTTTGATGAATTTGATAAAATTTTAGTTTAGATTTTTGTATTAAAATAATGTACAATGAGATGTCTTGTAAAAATAAAATAAAATTATATATATTTTTTTAGGAAAAACGCAAAGTACAAATCCTCGGTAAATTAACACAAAATATTACTATTATTTATATTTTCAATACTTTTTTTGTACTGTGATATAAAAATTACTTTAAGCTAAAGTACAAAACAAACTGTTTCAAACAAACTCAAAATTTAATAATACATATAGTTTTAACAACAACAATATGTTACATATATAATTAATTATGTCCAGCAAGGAATGATCTGGTAGTTGGATAAACTTATGACCGTGAAAGTCATAGATTTAAACCCATATGCCTTTAGGTTTACTTATTTCGTGAGTTATGGGTAAACTCTCAATCAAACATAATAGCCTTAAAACTATGTCAGATAAAAAAAACATCGGGATTTACATATTATTAAATTCGACAAAAAGTTTAAGCTCTAACTTATGATCATATGAAAAAAAAAAAAAAAAAAAAAACTTATGATCATATGAGTTTAAATAATGATCCTGAAAATTATTATATTAAAATTTAATTGGTACGGTTCCAATATTATTAAAAAAAATAAATCTGAGTGTTAGATATCAAATAATAATGATAAATAAACTTTCAAACTATTACTAATAGATAATTATAAGTACTAAAATTAAAGTTCAGGAACATCTACAAAGAATTGTTGGGAAGAAATCTCAGAAATTATCTTATCTAAGTCAGGGATTGGATCGCTAATAATGTATTCAAATATCGATTTACAATTTTCATCTTCTCCCATATTTTCACCAAAATTCACTTCTTCAATATCCCTAAACAATTCCGTCGCAAAATCGCTATTTAATTGGGACTCTTTTTTGTCGGTAATTTCCGACGATCGATAATAATTGATCGGTGATTCTTCTTTCCAACGCTTTCCAATCCCAAAATCAACTTCGTCGATATTTGTAAATTGCTCTGTATTATTCGACGTTCCCGATCCCACAAAATCGCTGTTTAATTGAGATTCTTCTTTGTCGGTATTTTCCGTCGAATTGATCAGTAATTGTTTCATCCAATGCTTTTTCGTTCTCGGCCTCGTCGGAACTTTGAAATCCAAACGATCGACGTAAATTTTGTTTTTGGAGTTTGTGTTCTTCGATTTTCTTCGTCTCTTTTGCATGGCAAAACATATCATGTAGAAAAATAAAATTGTGGGAATTAAATAAATAATAAATAAGTAAATAAAAGAAAATAATTGTATCTCAGCGTGGTGCTATTATGACTATTTATCAATCGATGGTGTATATATAGAGAGAGTTTTGGTAATTCAAATTGTTATGTTGGCATATTCTGGGAAATTAAATCATAACAATGATTTGTTATACCGTATATTTATTTAAATATACTATCTTTAAAATCTAAAGATTTGTTTGGTTTTGATATTAAATAATATTTTGATATGATATTTTAAAAATAATATAATATATATATTTTTGAAAAGTACAAATATTTTATTTTATCTTATTCTTTTAGCATAGATAATAAAATTGTTTAGCGGATTTTATTTTTAATATATAAATGACATTTATAAATTTAAACAGGTAGTAAAAAAAGTGATATTATTCTAGAGGGAGTACTATATATATATTGATAATTTTTTACTAACATGAAAATTCAATGAATCGGTTTATCGTAAATATTATTAAAAAAAGTATAATATACTTATACAGGAACATATCATATATATTTTATTTATTTAACAAAAATCAGTAGATCAATACAAAAAATATATATTTTTTTATATTAATAACATAATTTCTCATAGTTTGTTCAGTTGGTTTTGATTTGATTTTTTATTCTATTTTATTTTATTATAAATAATTTTATTAAATTTCATAAGGTAAGTAAATTTTTTTAATTTATTTTTTTTTATTATAGTGATTAAGATTCTAACAAAAACTAATTTAAGCTATGTTTAGATATTATATAGTTTGTTTAATTTTGGTGCTAAAACAAAATTAATACTATTTTTGTAGGTATATTCTTTAATAAAATAAATTATCTGATAATATAAAATATTGTATAAAAATATTATTTAAATTAAAAATAGGTAAAAATTTTAAACTCAAACCAAAACTAAAAAAATCCCATAATTTTTGAAAATTTTAGACTATAATTTAATAAATATTTATTTTAATTAAGATATTATATTCTATAAAATTTTGTTTTTTTTATGCAAAATATTATATTAATACTTCTTATAGCATATCAATTTTATTTTTATTTTTACAAAATTTAACATTTTTTTTATTTCTACAAAATTTATTTAGCCACAAATTTGTCTTATAAACACAGGCTTACAAATAGTGATCCGAATATTCGCTGAAATGCCCGAAGGCTTTTACTACTATTATTTAAAAATTAATTAAAAAATAAATACTATATTTAAGCAAATATCTCAGCCTGTATAATAAAATAACCAACGAAAGCGGCGTGAAATGACTTTTATACCCTCGAGGAGGCGCTAGGGTTTCTGAACAGTCAATCCGCGCCTCAGGATTTATATCCCTCGCATAGTGCATTTTGCTCATAACTTATCTGCGCCCGCCGCCGCTGCCTCGCTCTTTCTGCGTTTCCTCTCTTTCTGTAAGTATTCAGATCTACTCTCTCTACTGTTTGATTTCGATTCTCTGTTTGTGTGATGAGCATGGCTGCTCGATTGATTGATGTACGGATTATGTATGTTTCAATATGACTTGATTTGATGTGATGTTGAAGTTTTGAGATTGCGTTGTTAGCTTGGATTTGTGGAGGATTTGTGCGTTTTGTTGGTGGATTCGATCAGGTGTCTGTTTTCATTTTGATTGACGGATTAGTTGATGATTTTTTTTCCGCATCTGTTTTTTCTTTATTTTCTTTATTTGGTTTGTTCCGATTTTGCGAGAAATTATTTGGACAGTGATTTTTGAATTGAATAAAAACGTAGAATTGATGCTTAGATTAATCGAAGCGGTTTTTGTGGCCGTTGTTTTTTCAAGATCCCGTAGAAAAGTTATTGGTTAGCATATTATGAAATGGTTTTTTTATTAGTTTTATACCATAAGAGGTGCTTTTGGTTGCAACTATCTGTTAATATTGAGGCGTTATTCGCTAATTCGTAGTCGCAAATATTTTCATGGATAGTATATTATGTAAGGGTTTATTTTTGATAAGTTTTATACCAGAAGAGGTGCTTTTGGTTGCAACGTATCTGTAAATGTTGAGGCGGTATTCACTAATTTGTAGTTGCAAATATGATGATGGATGGCGCTTTGAAAGGATCTGGATCTTTGTTTTTTTGCTTCTGATATGTTGATGATTTTTAACTACTTGATTGATTCTCATGTAATTTGTTGACTGGCAGGTTATTGGAGAGAAATCTCCAAAAAATTTTGAGTAGCTGTTAAATTTAGAGACTAGTGAAAATGGTAAGTGGGCAGATATATTCTGTTCTTTACTATTGCAATCTGTTTCATATTTTGGATATCTTACAATGAATGTTTCTTGTGTGTCTTCAGGTGAAGTTTACAGCAGAAGAGCTCCGCAGGATTATGGACTTTAAGCATAACATTCGTAACATGTCTGTTATTGCTCATGTCGATCACGGTATTGTCACATCCAATATGTCTTTAATGTTAGACATGTGTATGTATGTACATGAATTGATTGATTGTGCGTTTTAATGTTCATACAGGAAAGTCGACACTGACAGACTCCCTTGTTGCTGCTGCGGGTATTATTGCCCAAGAAGTTGCTGGTGATGTTAGGATGACTGATACTCGTGCCGACGAAGCCGAACGTGGCATCACCATCAAGTCCACTGGTATCTCGCTGTATTATGAGATGGACGATGAGTCTTTGAAGAGCTATAAGGGGGAGAGACAAGGAAATGAGTATCTCATCAACCTTATTGATTCACCCGGGCACGTTGATTTCTCGTCTGAGGTGACAGCTGCTCTTCGTATCACTGATGGTGCGCTTGTTGTGGTGGATTGTGTCGAGGGTGTTTGTGTCCAGACCGAGACTGTTCTTCGACAAGCTCTTGGTGAAAGGATTAGGCCTGTCTTGACTGTCAACAAGATGGACAGGTGTTTCCTTGAGCTCCAGGTCGATGGTGAGGAGGCATACCAGACATTCCAGCGTGTCATTGAGAATGCTAATGTCATCATGGCCACGTATGAGGATCCTCTGCTCGGCGACGTTCAGGTTTACCCTGAAAAAGGAACTGTTGCCTTTTCTGCCGGTTTGCACGGATGGGCGTTCACTCTCACTAACTTTGCCAAGATGTACGCATCCAAGTTTGGTGTTGATGAGAGTAAGATGATGGAAAGGCTTTGGGGCGAAAACTTCTTTGATCCTGCAACTAAGAAATGGACAAGCAAGAACACCGGATCTTCTACTTGCAAGCGCGGTTTCGTTCAGTTCTGCTATGAGCCGATCAAGCAGATCATCAACACGTGCATGAATGATCAGAAGGATAAGCTGTGGCCGATGTTGCAAAAGCTTGGTGTGACAATGAAGTCCGAGGAGAAGGATTTGATGGGGAAAGCATTAATGAAACGTGTTATGCAAACTTGGCTTCCCGCTAGCAACGCTCTACTGGAAATGATGATCTTCCATCTCCCGTCGCCTGCCACTGCTCAAAAATATCGTGTCGAGAATCTGTATGAAGGCCCACTTGACGATGCCTATGCCAACGCCATCAGGAACTGTGATCCTGATGGCCCTCTCATGCTTTATGTATCGAAGATGATTCCTGCTTCCGATAAGGGACGGTTCTTTGCCTTTGGGCGTGTGTTCTCCGGAAGGGTCTCGACTGGTTTGAAGGTCCGGATCATGGGCCCTAATTTCGTACCCGGAGAGAAAAAAGATTTGTACGTCAAGAGTGTCCAGAGAACTGTCATCTGGATGGGCAAGAGGCAGGAAACTGTCGAAGATGTCCCCTGTGGTAACACTGTCGCCATGGTTGGTCTCGATCAGTTCATCACCAAGAACGCCACGCTCACGAACGAAAAGGAAGTCGACGCCCACCCAATCCGAGCAATGAAGTTCTCCGTCTCACCTGTCGTCCGTGTCGCTGTACAGTGCAAGGTTGCCTCCGACCTTCCCAAGCTCGTTGAAGGGCTGAAGCGGTTGGCCAAATCTGACCCTATGGTTGTCTGCACAATCGAAGAATCCGGGGAGCACATTGTTGCCGGTGCCGGAGAGCTCCATCTTGAGATCTGCTTGAAGGACTTGCAGGACGACTTCATGGGTGGGGCTGAGATCATAAAATCCGATCCCGTCGTGTCCTTCCGTGAGACTGTTCTTGAGCGTTCTTCCCGAACTGTGATGAGCAAATCGCCGAACAAGCACAACCGTCTCTACATGGAAGCTAGGCCGATGGAAGAGGGACTCGCCGAGGCCATCGACGACGGCCGCATTGGCCCAAGGGACGACCCCAAGGTCCGATCCAAGATCCTGTCGGAGGAATTCGGTTGGGACAAGGAGCTCGCCAAAAAAATCTGGTGCTTCGGACCCGAAACCACCGGTCCCAACATGGTCGTCGACATGTGCAAAGGAGTCCAGTACCTCAATGAAATCAAAGACTCCGTTGTCGCCGGTTTCCAGTGGGCCTCAAAGGAGGGTCCTTTAGCCGAGGAAAACATGCGTGGCATATGCTTCGAGGTCTGCGACGTCGTCCTCCATGCCGACGCAATCCATAGAGGCGGCGGCCAAGTCATCCCCACTGCCCGCCGCGTCGTCTATGCCTCCCAGCTCACTGCCAAGCCCCGTCTCCTCGAGCCTGTCTACCTCGTCGAGATCCAAGCTCCCGAGCAGGCCCTCGGCGGTATCTACAGCGTGCTGAATCAGAAACGTGGGCATGTGTTCGAAGAAATGCAGCGTCCTGGAACCCCGCTTTACAACATCAAGGCTTATCTCCCGGTTATTGAATCCTTCGGATTCTCTGCGACTCTGAGGGCTGCAACTTCCGGGCAGGCATTCCCGCAATGCGTGTTCGACCATTGGGATATGATGTCCTCAGATCCTCTGGAGGCCGGGTCGCAGGCGTCGACGCTGGTGGCGGAGATCAGGAAGAGGAAGGGTTTGAAGGAGCAGATGACTCCGTTGGCTGAGTACGAAGACAAGCTTTGAGGCGACGAATTTGGTAACAATAAGGGATTGGAATTTCTGCCGATTTTGGTGGGGATTTTCGTCCTCTATTTTTCCTCCCCCTCCTATGTTTTCATTATCGTTGTTTTATGTTGGTTGTTTTTATGTTACAGACTTTGATGTGCTTTTTCTTTTTCGTTGGATGGTTTTATGAGTTTTGGTTCTCCTGAAGTGTTGAAAAGACAGGAATGTTTTTTTTCGTTTATGTTTGAATGGGTTTTTAGATAATTTTGAACTGGTTTATCTGTGGTTTTTATTGTTTTTTTTGGTAGGTTTGGTTACAATTGGAAGTACTTCTATTTGATGTTCTTTTTTTTGTTTGTTTGTTTAAATATGAAATGGTGTGTAATTAATTTAAAATGATATTTGGATACATGTCTTTAGAGCCTCTCCAACCCAGTATTTAGTGAAATCACCATAAATACAGTTCAATTAAAAAGATGAATTGACAACATTTAAAAATCAACACTAATATTCAGTCGCTACTCTGCTTTGGCTACACTTCCCTCATAATTTAATATTATATAACCAGTAACAAAAAATATTTTTCCCCTTATCTTCGATAAAAAAAATATTATAATACAAACAAATAATATATTTATATTTAAGTAATATAAATTAGTTCATAAAACAATATTAAAATTTAAACATATTTAAAAGAGATAAAAATATAAAAATAATACTCTCATGAGATAATTATGACAGTTTTTATATTTTGTTCACTGCATAATCAACTAAATAACTTTATATATTTATAATTTTATAATTTAATTTTAATACGATAATAATTAATTAGAATTATATTTTTATTTTATTTCATATATATGTCTCGGGCCGGATCTATCGAATTCAAATCGGGTACAGGTGTACTGTAAAACTCATCCGTCGACAGTCGACTCTCTCACTCTCACATCCCATAGCAAATCGCTATACTTGCAGATTCTCTCACAGTTTCATAACCATGGATCGGAAAGATAATTCAACTCCACAAGGTTCGTCGTCGATTCCAACTCCTCACGCTTCCAACTTGTTGCTGAATTTCGTTTCTTAATGTTTTAGTTTCGCATATTTTTCAGGCGAAATCGCTCGAATTCTCGTCGAGTTCATGGAGGTTGCCATCACTTCAATCGTTTTCCTCAAAGGAATCTATCCAAACGGTATTTATTGTTTTTTCGCGAAGTTAATAAATCATCAGACGCTTAATAATCCCTAAAAATACAATAAGAATAATCGAATCGACTTGAATTGCATCTAGGAGCTTTCGAGAGGCGGCGGTATATGAACGTGGTGGTGCACAAAGCCAAACACCCTCAGTTGAACGAATACATCCATTCCGCACTTGAAGGACTCCTACCGTTCATCAACAAGGTGAATTTCGACTATTTTGTTCCATTATTTTTGGAATTCGCTCTGCATTTTTCTCCTATTGCTTTCCGATTAGGTTTTGGTAGATTGGTTGTGAATTTCTACTATTATGTTCCGTTATTTTTGGAATTCGCACTGAAATTTTCTCGTATTCCTTTCCTATTAGGGTTTGGTGGATAGAGTAGTTGTGATTTTCTTCGGTGATGATGATGTGCCTATTGAGAGATTCATTTTCAAGCTTAGTGTTAACCAGTCTTACAACTCGAAGGTGGAGCAAGCAGATTTGGAATTCTCTCTGAGATCCTTTTTGATTAAATTGCCTGTATCAGAACCATTGACTAAACCTCTTCCTCGCAGTAAGTCACATGTATATAGCTTTCCTTCAATTGCTAAACCCCACTGCGTGCATCAGTGTTGAATGAAGTAGGTTATGATTGAAAACATACTACCAAATATGTAATTGATGTTTTTGAGCTTTAAAATATTTGATATCCAATATTTGAAATTTTATGTTAGGTTATATGACAAAAAGTATTATATATACGTATATTTTACGAATCACACTGGGTTTTCCTAGTTGGTCCCAAACCTGATGCCCGATGGGTTTAAGGCGAGCGGGGTTCTGGTCTCTGGGGCCTGCAAAATCGGGTCTGAACTTGTCTGTTGCCATCACTAATTCAACTACCTTTTGTTAAATTATGGATGTGCTATACCGATAGTGGTCCTCACCATAGTGTCTGTGTAATCTGTCATTTAATTTTATGAAACATCATTCTATGTTGTTTGCCTTTCTGCAGATTGCAGGTGGGAAATAACAGCATACTTCCATGCTCTGCCTGAGGCTGGCACCAGCAAGGATGCCGAAATGTGGATCCCAACGGATGCCAAGCAGTGGTTACAACCACCATTAATAGTCCCTATTAAGTCGATGACCAGTGAGCCTCTAGGTTTGCAGCTGTATTTGGAGCATCCGAGTCACACTGAACCAAAGAAGACTTAAAACAGGGATTGCTTGGGAGCTCCCAAATTTGTTTAGGCAAATGCTTTACGGGTATGTGAACTAATTTATAGTGCTATTTTAGAAGCTAATCTTGATTTAGTTTTTAATGTTGAATAAATATGATTCGTGTTAATATTTCTGGGATTGTTAATGAATAGTTTGAGACCAAAACCAAACCTTAAAAAACAAACCTGTAGGGATACGATGAAATGTGTATGAAAAGAATTACAATGGTGTCATACCTTGTTTCTATTACCTAAAAACAACAAATAGTATAAGATGCTAATTAACACTTTATATATTGCATCGACTGCTTATGATGCCTATATTTGTCAATCAAATTAACCATCTATTCTGAAACAGCCCTGGCACCATCCACACTCATCGTGTAATGATTCCCGGTAAGCATTGGGAAGTTTCTATGCCAACATTCAGGTATTATCCATATGCACGACGAATTCAATCACTTTATCTATCTGCTTTCTGTACACCGTGAAATCATTATTCTCGTGTATTCTTTTCCATCAGGGGATGTTACAAAGACTTGAAAGCATAATGCGCCCTCCATTTTCATCCCGATGGGATTATTCATTGGTTGAAGTAGATCTTCTCCGGGTATGTCCCTTCCCATTCATCGGCTAAGATGCTAAGTTCTTAAAACACTATTGCAATCCGATATAGTTTAGGCATATATATATGTATGTATATATTGTGCTTATACTTTCATAAGAAATATTAATTTTTAAAAATTTATTTAATAATTTTTTTACTATTTCAAATTTTTCTAGAAATTCTGAAGAGTTGAATAGAAATTATGAGCATGTGCCGTATGGATTGTTATTATGTGTTGTCAATTCAATTTATTTTAAGATCAACTATGACATATACTTTATGGATTGTTGTTATGTACCTTTAGTTCATGTGGTGTATTTTGTTATGTCAAGATGCACATTGTTTTGAAATCAATGGTGTCATATTCAGTAAACTATTACTACTATTTTAATTTTATAATTTTTTATATATTAATATATTTAATTGTATAATTTTTTATATATTAATTTTTTTTAATGATATATATTTTTATTATATTATCATTCAATGTATCAATATTTTTATATATTTTTTTTATTTATATGTTATTTATCTTTTATATCTTGTAAAATATATTTAGTTATTATTTACACACACACAAAACCCTTGTTCCTTTTTATTTCTCATCTTTTTTAGATTTGTTGCAATATTTGATTTTTTGGTAAATATCAGTTAAATTAAATCTTGAATTAAAATAATAAAAAATAATAATAAAAATATTAGTGTATTAGATAATAATATAACTATATAATAAAAATTATAAAATTTAAAATAGAAATATACAAAAAATATTATATTAATATTATTACTAATTATTTATTAATATTTGTAATATTTTTGTTTAAAAAAAAATTGTTATAATTATTATTATAAAGTAAATTTTTACCCTAATAATAGCTTAGGCTGACCCGTTTACGCATCCAAATTCCACAGCTGCATGCTCCACCAGGACAAATTAAAGCGGCTCCAATCTAACCCAACAGATTCGAACATGGCCCAGTCCACCCCAGCCTGCAATGCAATGTAATTATTTTTTTATTTTTATTTTTATTGCAAATAATTAATTAAGGAAAACCCTAATTTGAATTTTTAAACTAATACAACAACAAATAAACATACAATTAATTAAGGAAAGCCCTAATTTGAATTTTTAAACTAATAAAACAACAAATAAACATACAACTAATTAAGGAAAGCCCTAATTTGAATTTTTTCATTAAGTACCGTTGGGTTGGAACTTGGAAGGAAAGAATCCGTTACAACTTAGAAGGAAGGAGCGTCTCTTCTGGAAGCTTCTTCTCCTTTTCTTCTTCTTCTTCTTCTTAATCGTCTTCTTCTCCACAGCCAATTCCATTTCCATTCCAGTGCCCCCTCTCCCTCTCCCTCTCCCTCTCCATCTCCATCCCTGCCCCTCCCACCAGTCAAGTCAGTCATACTCATCATGCCTCCCTCCTCTCAAATCAGAGACGTCAATGGACGCCCTCTTCCCTCCCGATCAATCAGGGTAGTTAATTATTTTCCCTCTCCATCCCTGCTCTGGTGACTGCGGTGCAGTGCGAATGGTGAAGAAAGCCGGTCAACTGGCGGTTGGTTCGATTGCTTTCCCCCAAATTAATCGTATCGTAAATTATAATTTGTAATTTAAAATGTATAATCTTTTTCTTCTTCTTCTTCTTTTGTTTTTTTTTAAAAATAATCTTGTTACACGCAACGCAATCCCAATCCCCATCCCAAATTCCATCCGCCTTTCGCAGTTGAGTTCTTGGTGATGGTGAGAATTGTCAGTCCTCGGTCCTTGGAGAGTGAGTGGGTGTTGGGGTCGGATGCCATCCCATTTCATTTCAATAGACATATACAGTCACTGTCACAGATTCAGCTGTGTAAGATGGTTTTACGGTGGTAATGTTTTAGTTATCTTTTCCTTCAGTTCATATGTATATATTTTATGGATTCTTGTTCTTATTATGCAGTATATTGCAGAGAGAGAGAGAAACAAAGAAGCCCCGTCCCCCATTGCTCAAGAAACCAGTGGATCGGAGGTGAAGATAACACCATCAACTTTTGGGTAAGTTTAACCACCCTTTATCCTTTCTTTCTTTCTTTCTTTTTGTACAGTCTGCGCCTCCAATACAATCCAATTTACGATAGCAATATAATAGATGATTTTTCATAGGTTTTATCAATTGTTTTCATGGATGAATTCATAATTTGGTTTTTTACTGGTCTTTTGTATTTTGATACTTTAAAGTTCTCAAGATCCCTCCACTTCATTGCAAATACTCTCCTGCATCAACTGAAACTCCTCATTTGATCTTTGGGGATGAGAGTTGTTGTTGTTATAACTCATCTGTCGCTAGATCTTGTTTCTTGGTCACTTCATAAAATGAAATTGTGGCACTTTTCAAAATATGTATTCTTCTTTTCAATCTGCTTTCCACTCCCCTTGTTACTCTTGCCTTGTCATAGTTGAATGATTAAGGTTTTGGGTTCTCCCTTAAAATTGACAAGAATGGTGATACGGGTGATTCCATAAATCATTTCTGAAGTTGAGGGAAATCTGAATCTTAAATGTACTTTTTCAAATCTTTATTGTTCATTTTCATTCTCACCTTAAGTCATACTTGAAAAGTTGAGGTGTTGTGTTCTCCCACGAGGATAGTGAATTGGGTGATTCCATAGATCATTCCTTCATGAGAACCAAGGAGAATGGTGATGGGTGATTCCACAAACCATTCCTTCAAGTAAAAGGAAAATCTAAACTTTTAAATGTGTATTTTCAAGTTTTTATTTTGTCCAAAATTGTTTTCAAATCAATTGTCCGTATATTTTACCTTCTCAAAATGGAATTGTGGAAATTTTCAAAACACGAATTCTTTTTTCAATATGGTTTACTGGCCAGCAACGCTTTCAAGTTCTCTTGACCTATTTTTTGTTGAAATTATGAAGTTATTTTGCTACTTTTGTCTATTGGTGGTGAGAAGAGGTACCTTGAGTAGAAAAGATAAATAGGTTCGAGCCCTGGTAAAGTCCGTTGCTAGTGACACTGCCGTTCTTGTGATGTGCAATTCCTTGTTTGATATCACTTCCTGTTGAATATATTTTATCAAGCTTATTTCTGTTTGTTTACCTACATACCAATCTTTTTAGTTGGCAAGGGTTTTACTACTGTTTTTTCGAGAGCCCGTTGTTATTTACTTGTTTGGTTTTAATATTATATGCTATTTTGATTTCATTTCTTTCATTTTTTTTGTTTGTGTGTGTGTGAGGTTGGTGGACATAAAGTGGAGGAGGTTGAAACAAAAATCTGGAACTAAGGCGCGTCCAATCATCAAAGATTGTATGATTTTCTCTGTTTGGTAGATTTGGTAATCATTTTGCATCTAATCATGATGATAAAGTTTGTGTATGTTTGAATCCCTCTAAGATTGAACAATGTGGAAAGTTTATTATTTTTCTGAATGTTGAATGTAAATGAGAAATTATAATATTTAGTTCAAATTCTGATCCAAGATGGTAGTGCCTGTGGACTACAATGCTTTTTTATCTACCCTTTAGTTTCGTTGTTGCGTCTTTATATGCTTTTTAGTGCAGTAGCGTATGGATAATTTGTAAATCAGTTTTGTTTGAGGTGTTTACAGCTATTATATTACCGTTGTAATAACCTGCTTGCCTTGTATACACGCAACGCAACCCCAATTCCCAAATTCCATCAGCGTTTCGCAGTTGAGTTCTTGGTGATGGAGAGAATTGTTAGTCTTGGGTCCTTGGAGAGTGAGTGGGTGTTGGGATCGGATGCCATCCCATTTCATTTCAGTTTCTCTGTTGCTGTCCCCCTTCAGCATTGACATATACAGTTACTGTCAGAGATTCAACGGTTTAGGGTGGTTTAACTCCGATTGGTAATGTTTTAGTTATCTTTTCCTTCAGTTCATATATCTATATTTAGGGATTCTTGTTCTTATGCAGTATATTGCAGAGAGAGAGAAATATAATAGATGGAAATGTAATAGATGATTTTTCATAGGTTTTATCAATTGTTTTCATAGATCGATTCATAATTTGGTTTTTTTACTTGTCTTTAGTATTTTGATACTTTAAGGTTCTCTAAATTGATTCTATAAGTTCATTTTAATCAAGATCCCTCCACTTGACTGCAAATACTCTCCTGCATCAACTGAAACTCCTCATTTGATTTTTGGGGATGAGAGTTGTTGTTGTTATCACTCATCTGTCACTCTATCTTGTTTCTTGGTCACTTTTCAAAACATGTATTCTTTTTTTCATTCCTGTTTCCATTTCCCTGGTTACCCTTGCTTGTCATAGTTGAGTGATTAAGGTTTTGGGTTCTCCCTTAAAATTGACAAGAACGGTGAATTGGGTGATTCCATAAACCATTCTTGAAGTTGAGAGAAATCTAAATTTTAAATGTGTCTTTTCAAATCTTTATTGGCCACTTTTACTCTCACCCTATGTCATAGTTTGAAAAGTTGAGGTTTTGTGTTCTCCCACGAGGATAGTGAATTGGGTGATTCCATAGATCATTCCTTAAGAGTGGTTGAATGCTTTTGGGTTCTCCATTAGAACTGACGAGAATGGTGATGGGTGATTCCACAAACCATTCCTTCAAGTAAAAGGAGAATCTAAACCTTTAAGTGTTCATTTTCAAGTTTGTATGTTGTCCAAAATTGTTTCAACTCAAGAATCTCTATATTTTACCTTCACAAAATGGAATTGTGGAAAATTTTCAGAACATGAAGTCTTCAATCTCGTTTACTTACTGCCGAACAATGCATACAAGTTCTCTTTACCTATTTTTTGATTAAGTTATGAAGTTATTTTGCTACTTTTGTCTATTGGCGGTGAGAAGAGGTATCATGATTAGCGGTGATAAATAGGTTCTATAAGTTTATTTTAATCAAGATCCCTCCACTTCACTGCAAATACTTTTAGAAACCTGCATTTTTATTTGGACTGTATACTTATTTTAAAGGTAGGTGTGGTATGACTGAAAGATTGCATACTTGTTTTGATTGTGTACTGTCTATGATGGATAGGCATGCCCAAATCCCTACATATTTGTTTTGACTATCATGTTTTTTGTTGTTGTTGTTAGCGGCAAAAATTCAAAATTTTGCATATTTGTTTGGACTGTCATGGAAAGCATGCATTAAAGCCTGAATATCTATTTTAACTATGTTATATCCTAAATATGTGCGTTTATATATATGTTGGTGAGAGACTTGTATCTGCTTCTCCCTTGTCACTATATTATAGTGTGATATTGTTGTCAACTGCATTGCACTGAAGTTCATTATTCAAAGGTGAGGTGTGTGGAGTAACAATTATCTTTTAAACCATAAACATGCTTTTCAAGTTAATGTTGGGAATATATTTTTCAGGTCGAATGGAGTAAAAATTAGAGAAGGTTAAGGATGCTGTGGAGCTTTAAATTAATCCTCCTCTTTGAGTGGTATAAATGTTGCAAATTGATTTCAGGTATTTGGGCTTTTATTTGAACATTTGATTTCTTTGGTTTTTGTGGAGAATCATCTATTTATAAGTTTTAATTTTTGGGTGATATTGTTTATTTAACAGTTGATCATGCAATTGGTTCTAAATAGCTCTGTGTTTTTTATTTGCTCCCTCTTCCATATCTGAAGGTTGGTGAGTATCATGCAGCACCTTTGTTGCGAAATCCAATTGCAGCTCACAACAATTGCTCGCTGTCCTCTTTGTCTTGGTATGTCTACCCACTTATGATGATTATTTAGGACATTTATTACGAGTTTGTTTATATTGACTAACAAGTGAGTAAATGTGGATAGAAAATATATCAATCATACAAGTGTTATCTACCACTCTCAACTTAAAGAATCATGAGAATGCAACTCCAGTGGTAGTCTTTACTTGAGAAAAAAAGAGCATAGAAAGTAAGAAAATCAATCTGTAATCTACACTACAACTTATTTAACATTTTTTTGTGGGTTTTCTCTCCTTGTGGCTATGGGAGGAAGGGGTGAAGAAGATCCATGTTGAGGAGCAAAGAAAACAGTGCTGAAATGGGATTGAAAGCGAAGAAGAAACCCATGAAAGTGCCAGGAAAGGAATGCAATGAAGAATGTTGTTTTGATGATCAATTGGCCAATTCTCAGTGTGACCTTCCTCTTTGTTGCCATTGTTGCTTTCCAGCCTGACATGTGAGTGTACCAAGCAATTTTCTTATCATCATATTCACATGAAGATATTGCTAAAGGAATTTGACAGTGATAGTGACTGGATTATGCCTTTCAAGCCTGAGTGCTGGCTTCCTTACGTGATATGCTCAAGGCAGCCATCTGAAACTGGTTTGTGTTTACACCTTTCTTGCATATATTATCCCCAGTCAGTTGGTATTTAGTATTACATGTATCTTTGCAAGTAATTTAATGCATTTATGGCTGATCAACTTGAAAAGTGTTCGAAGTTATCAAAGTTTTCAATTAAGACCATATTGCAAAAGATACAGATTGACCTGACCAGAAAATTGTCTTTTTTGTAGAAACTAAAATTTTAAGATGTGTAAATTGATTTAGTTTGTAGAACTATACTTACTGCATAATCATTATATTTTTCAGCTTGATTAGTTTTGAATTCTTTCTCAACATGAATTTATCACCTTTGCAGACGGCATCCAAACCCAAAGAAGGAGATGCATGAACTTTTGTTGTAAACGGCTGTTCCAGTTGGTCTGAGTTTGGACACAACATATTCGGAACTGCACTGGCTACTATTTCACTTGATGGTGTAGTGGTGAGATTGCTAACTTTTTTAAGTACTGTTTTCCTTTCAAAAGCATTGGCTCATTTATTTCTCGTTGTCTAAACTCGGTATTTTTCTAGTTGTTATTAGCTATCCTTGCGGATGCATAATTCATAGGAATGCATGTGACTTTCAAGAGTAAGTTTTCTAGACTTAAAAGTTGTGCTTTATGTGCTAATTGTCTTGCCATTTTTATTTTTTTTGTGTGTTCGTGCTTTTTGGGTTTTTTTGTGCCATATTTGTATTGTTTGTACTGTGTATTGTGTTTATGATGCATTTTTTGTACTTGTGTGTTGTGGTGTCTTATTGGGCTGTGTTATTTGTTTTGTTATGATGCATTGTTTGTATTTGTGTGTTGTGTTTATGTACGATATAGTGCTCTTGTAGCCTTTTTTTGTGCTGTTTGTATTGTTTAATTGTGTATGCTTGTGGTGTCTTTTTGTGTTGCATTATTTGTATTGTAATAGTGTTGTTTGTGCTTGTGTGTTGTGTTGTGTTTATGTATGATAGGGTGTGCTTGTGGTGTGTTTTGGGTTGTGTTGTTTGTATTATTACGATGCATTGTGTATATTTATTATATGGTGTGCTTGTGGTGTTTTCTTGGATTGTGTCGTTTGTATTTGTATGTTGTGTTTATCTATGGTAATATATGCCTTTTTTTTGTTGTTATTGTTGCTTGTGTTGTTTCTATTGTTTTATTGTATATTTTATATACGCCTATGATGTCTTTTTGTATTGTTATGTTGCTTGAATGTGCTTGTGTGTTGTGTTTATGTATGATACAGTGTGGTTGTGACGGCTTTTTGTACTATGTTGTTTGTATTGCTATGTTGCATTGTTTGTGCTCGTGTGTTGTGCTTATGTGCGGTATAGTTTGTTGTCTATTTTGTGTGCTTAAAGTGTCTTTTTGTTTTGGGCTGTTTGTGTGGTTATGATGTATTGCTTTTGCTTGTGTGTTGTGTTCAAGTGTGGTGCAGTGCGTTCGTGCTCTTTTGTGTAATGTGTTAATATATGGTTTTTTGCTCATGTCGACATAATATTAGATTTGTTTAACTTAATTTGTTTGTGTGACAATATTATATTCATTTTGCTTGCCCATTTGTGTCTTGACTTGTTGCCTATCATTATTTTAATATCTAATTAATTTTATTCGATTCAATGTGTGATGTTTGATGATTATATGACTATAGCATACAATTAAAATTAAGAGTTAATTTATTATTTTTACTATTTAATTCTTATAATTTCTTTTATAAAAATTATTTTATAATGCATTTAAATTACTGTTTAAATAAAAAAAATCAAAACAAAAACTAAATAAATAAAAAGTGTTATATATATATTTCTTGAAACATGGCTTATTCAAATTATCATCTTATTTGTATCAGTTATTTTGCCAATATGTCGATTCACTCGATTAACTTGATCTAATAACTTTTTTTTTTTTTTTGACAATTTTATTCTTTGTACTAACGCACCTTGGTCTGTTGGTGATAATAAAAAAGAAAGGATTTGTTTGTTTTCTAAAATGATTTGAAAGAAATTATATTTTTTATATGAAATATAAAAAATTGTCTAGGCGATATAAAAATAGTGAATATATATAATATATTAATTTTTTTTTTATTTTTTTTTAGAGAAATGTGTATTGTTTTTTACAAAGCAAATAAACCCAACGTTGTTTAGTGAAAAAAACATAGGAATTCTTTAAAAAAACACTTTGTAACGCACCCTTTGTGTGTTGGTAACAATTAAAAAAATATTGTTTCATGAAAATTTTGGATTTTTATCAAAAAAATCTGTGTGTCATGCGGAAATAGATATTTAAGGGTGTGTTTGTTTGGAGGTTGGATTTTTAAATCCATTATTCATCTCATATTTTTTTTTCAAAAATATCAAATCAAACATCTATTTTTTATATTTTATATTATATTAAAATTAATTTTACATTCAAAATATCACATCAATATCTATTTATATCACATTATACAACTATTCAAATTAAAATATTTTACTAATGGAATTCCAACTCAAAATTCAAACCCAAAACACACACACCCCAAACAAACATACCCTGACAAATGTCCAAGAAATAGTGTATGTGTCAATTGCATTCGTTGTACTTGAAAGAGAGTGGGTTGTAAAATCACAAATAAGGTATTAATTTAAAAACACGTAAGTACAAACTGTTGAGGTTACATGTACAAATTTTGTACATCCCTATATGTTACATTTGTTCGGCTCGAATGTCTCATTTATTTTTTGTGTATATAAATATTAATATTAGGATAATTTATTTTTTTAGTTCCGTAATTGGACTTTTTTATCATTTTAGTTCAGTAAGTGGAGCATGTTGCAAACTAGTTTTATAATGAGAAACGCCCGTATGGCTCGCCGGAAGCCAAGTGTCCCGTTAAGTTAGCGATACCTGACAGACACGTGAATTTTATTATTATTTTTTTCAATTGAACCAAATAAAAATAAAATAAAAATCAGTTTAAAAATAATAAAAAAAAATAACACCTGGCGAACACGTAGTTTTCGGCGAGCCACGCGGGTGTCTCCGGCGTCGGAGGACTAAAACAGCGAAAATTTTTCACTTATGAGACTAATTTGCGACATGCTCAACTTATAAGTCTAAAATGATAAGGAAGTCTAGTTACGAGACTAAAAAAATATTTTAGCTTAATATTAATATGAAAATGTAGTACAATTAAAAGAAAAATAACAAAAATATTTTTATTAGTGTTTTATAATGTTATTATAATGACATTTGTGCAAAAAAATTATATAAATATAATATTCTCTCCGTTATCTAATTGTGTGTTCATTTGACCATGCACGAATTTTAAGAAAAATATTTAAGAATAGAAATTTATATATTTTTTTTTTATAATGAAAAGTGATATTTTTTTTAATAAAAAAAGAAACGAAAATAAATTTGAAATTTTGAATGATAACAAAAAAAATGAAAGGAATAAATTTGAATGACGGAGGGAATAACATTTTAAATGTTAAATACAGTGATAAAAGATAAATGAGATTTTTAGAGCGGAACAAATGGAGTATAACAGTGTAGATATTGAAAAATATAAACAAGGGGACATCAATGCAAATTATTCAGTTATGGTGCGTTTACTTTGTATAATAAGAGTAATATATGTATTATTCTAATAGATAATGTAATTATACGATAGAATAATTCAATGTAAATTATAATGGGTTATTGTATAAAATTATTAATTTTTTCTTAATTATTAAAAATATATATATTTTTTTTTTTGTAATAATATTTTAAAAAATTGTTTTACTTAAAAATATTAAGTGAACAAACATATTATATTAGTCATGTTAGAAGATACTTTAAAATCTAATTAAAGGGTTTTGATTCAAATTTGACTTAAATCAATAAATTAAGGGATATTCTTTTACTTTTTTCTTTTATTAAAAAAATGCTATTCAATTTCTTTAATTAATTCCTATTAGATTGAACTTATTGACAAAATCAAAGAAAATTTATTATATATAAAATAGTTAAGTGAACAAACTTTTTGTTTATAGACAATTATTACTATTTCTTTACGATTATTTTCAATAAAAAAATATATAATATTAATTTTTTATAGTCTCGTTAATAGAAAAAACTAATATTTATAGTATTAAAATTATTAATTTTTTAATAGATAAATTTTTTTTTTTTCTTAACAATATATTCATTAGTTTTATTTTGGTTCATCCCATAACAAAATATATATATATATTTTTAAGTAAATGTACTTTCTACTGACATTAAAAATACTTTTACAACTTACAATATCTTGCACAAATAGCAAATGAGATCCTCTGTCTCAAAAATAAACTATATCCCCATATTCTCACACACATAATGGGACAGAGGACCCGATATGCACAAATGCTAATAAAATTATTTTATTTTTTTCTACTTTATTCATATCTAATCCAATATAATACTACTAATATTTTCTTGAACTCGTGTAAATCACAAACAGATATATAAATAAAAGACAGAAGAAATATATTGTATATTGTACTTAAATACATATAGAGATTGGATTTTTCTAATAATATTAATTGGAAATTGTCTATTTTTTATGAATAAATTTTATATATTAAATGCAGGGTTGTATTGTTAAATAAAAAATTATATATCTTGTGTTGAATTGTTGAATTTTTTTTTAGGTAAATAGAGTAGTATTATTAATTGTGTTAATATGTGTATATTGTATTTTTAAAAATAATATTTATAGGCATCCACCCAAAAATACTATACGGTTGTGTTTGGTACAGAGAAATGAGTCAAGAGAAATGGAAATGGTATCATTTCCATTGTTTGTTTGAGTCAAGAGAAATGGAACTTGAGAAATAAATCATTTCCATTTCTCTATTTTCATTTCTCTCCCATATGCAAAGAAATGGAGAGAAATGATGTTGCAGAATATATATTTTTTAATTTTTAAAATTTTTTGTACTATTTAATTTTTATAATTTTTTAAAAATTATATTATTTTAATTTTACAAAAAAACAAACTTAATTTATTTTTAAAGTATTTAATTTTTACGACATTTTAAGAAATTGTACTAAAATATAATCTTAAAAAACATCGTATATAATTTATAATTTTTTTTAAAAAAAATTTACCAAAAATATTTTTCATGAATTCTCATTCGTTAAAACTCTCTTTTTATCGTGTTAATCATTTATTTTTGTTTGCTCATTCATATATCTGTATTTTTTTTTAAATTTCTCAAATCAATTCTCTGTTTTATCAAACAAGAGAATTAATTCTCATTCTCTACTCAATTCCATTTCTCTCCAATTCTATTCTCTACTATCATTTCTCTGCAATTCTATTCTCTGTACCAAAAGCCCCCTAAGTGAACCAACTACAGTTTCAATTATTTTTTTTAGTAATGTCGGAATTGGCCATTGCTACTTTTCGAATAAGTATTGAATAAAATTTCGACTAAACCTAATAATTTGGAAGTTTGTTTAATTTAATTTTCAAGTCATTTTTTACTATTTAAATGCCTAAAACTCTATAAGTTTGTTTGGTTTTATTTTCAAATCAATTTTTTACTGTTTGGTTTAAATAAAAATATACATGTTTCTATTATAATAACCACGTTAAAAATACTATTTAAAAAAGCATATCATTGACTTTATGTGTAGATTTCTCCAATATTAATTACTATATAATACAAATCAAAAGAAGAAAAAAAATAAAAAATTGTTAGTGTCGTATAATACAAATTGGGACATTTGTGAAGTAAATTATTCAAATGTAAATTTATTTTTAATATTAAATATAATGACCTAAAAAATATATGATACTCTCTTATCGAACAGAGGTAATATATATACTCCCTCTGTCCCGAAAGTAAGTATTTATTTGCTTTTTACATATAGTTTTAGAAATATTAGTATTATATTGGGATATAGTAGGAATAAAATAGAAATGACTAAAATAACCTTAATAGTATGTGTGATATAAAGGTAATGACATTTGTGTAATATATTGTAAATTATAAATGTATTTATAATGTTAGGTAGACAGTACACTTATTAAAAAAAAGAAATTGATACTTTGTTATGTGACGGACTAAAATAGAAAATTTAATATTTTGTTATGGGACGGAGGGAGTATATTTTATATTCACCGATTTTAAATCAGGATAAATCTGCTTTTTTATCGGTATAATATTTTTTACTTTTTTTTTTACTCACCAATTTAAAATCAGGATAAATCTGCTTTGAATGAGACTCAATCCACATATATAAATATACATATATTATTAGGATAGTAATAAATTCGACAGTAAAATCAATTTTAAATTATGCAATTACAAATGCGTCAATTTATTAATTATATTTATCATTATGTTGTAACTATAATTTTATTATATTATTATATTGCGCACCGTTTTATATATGGTAAATGAAATATACATATATGCCCTTAATATATTGCAAATAACGTAATATATTTATAATATAAAATTTATAAAATACAAATATTATATTCAAAATTTGAAATATCTAAAATACAAACAAACGCTATCTATATATATATAAATGGATAATATATAACAATATTACGAAATTTCAAAATTATTATTTACAGTATAATAATTCGCATTTCCATAATATTAAATATTAGAATAATAATTATTTTAAAAAAATAAATAATTAGCTGGCGAAAATGTATAATTAATTAACCACCCCATTCCACTCCACCCCACCCCACCCCTTCTCTCTCACTATATATATATAATTAATGATACGTAGTTGAATTCCTATTTGCATATATTTTGCATGATTGTTGCTGTGTGTTGTTTTTTCTCTTCAGTTATTCTTCTTCTCTTCTCTCATAATTCCTTCTGTCCACAATCTAAATTCAGCAAAATCTTAGGATTGATTGATTTGCACGCAAAAGCTCTGAATTGACGCATAAATTCTGACGGAGAGGCTGAAGAGGAGTGGATCATCCCCTCACTGTTTTGGCAGAATTTTTGTACGGTGGAATGGAAGTTGAAGCGCGGCGTCTCCATCCGTTTCCTACGCAGATTCGGAGTAACAGGTAGGTTTAATTTTTGCATTTTTTGGTATGATTTTGGTGGATTTTCATCGATCGGTGGTTGTTCGTGTATAGAAACATGGATAGGAGGATTTTTTTTGATGTGTTTGGTTGTGATTGTGTGTTGAGCAGAGATTTGGGGATGAACAGTGTGGAAGGCGGTGGAAATATGTTTGGCGGTCAGATTGGGTATGGAATGATGCCTCAGATGGAAGTTTCCGTTCCGGTTTACGGTTCGGCGGCGGCGGCGATGGCTGCAATAGCTAATAATCCGGCGGAAACTCCGGTGGTGAAGTCGGATTGCGTATTAATCAACGCTCCGAGGAAGCGAACCAGAGAAGAAATCAATACTCTGCTGTCGTCGTCGTTCCCCAGCGACGCTCAGAATCGAAATGCGTGTCAAGTACGTGGACTCTTCACTTTCCTTGGCGAAGATATCTCGCGTCAGATGCAGCAGCAGCAATTGGAGATTGATCTGTTCATCGCTCTACACGTATGTAACGTTTGGTGTTTTTATTAAATTCGTAGATGAAAACGTAACCGACTCAAATCTCGATGCAGAACAAAAAGGTGAGAACGGAAATCAAAGATCGGCGGAAGAGATACTGCCAAGGAATCGCCGCGGCGCTAGAACAGACGATAATTAAGAAACTGAAAGCAAAGGACGACGAAATCGAGAAGATCGGAAAGCTCAACTGCGCGCTCGAAGACCGATTGAAATCTCTGTACGTCGAAAATCAAATATGGCGAGATTTGGCTCAAACTACCGAAGCAACCGCCAACGCTCTCCGATCCAATCTAGCGCAACTCCTCGCTCAAGTCCAAACCGCACAACCGCCTCTCTCCGCCGGCGACGACGACGCACAGTCATGCTGCGGCAGCAACTTCAAATCAAGCGACAACAACGATCGGAACAAGTGCAGAAAGTGCGAGAAGGATGAATCGTGCGTACTGCTGTTACCTTGCAGGCATCTCTGCCTCTGCAACGCCTGCGGATCCACTCTGCAGACATGCCCCGTCTGCAACGTCACCAGAACCGGCAGCGTTCACGTTAATCTCTCCTCTTGAAATTACTGACTGATTGATCCACCATTGTTGCTATAAAAACAATACTGCTCTCCAATCCAACCGTTACAAATTTTCTTCTTCAATAATTGCGTCTTGATTAATTATTTCTTCAGATTTTATTATTATTATTATTATTATTATTATTATTGTTATTCGATTTTTTTGTTCATACTGTATGGCACAGCACGGAAGCGCAGGGCAGAGAATCGGAGGATAGAGATTATTGTGACAGAGACAAGGCGGAGGAGGATAGGATCATCCGTCAAATCCCGCCACAGCTTTGTGTACTTCGATTTTGGGGAATTGTAGAAATTACAGGTACGTTTTTACTTCCAACTGTAATTTCCGCACCATTGCGTACTGTAGAGTAGAGGAAACACTGTCTCTTCTGTCCCTTTCGTGGACAGCCTCAGCATACAGTGTTTTATGGTAATGCGGTTCGTGTGACGTGGGAAATATTATATATATATATATATATATTTATATTATTATAATTTTCAAAATCATGAATGATTTACTACACTTTGCAAAGTATATACTGTGTAATTTGAATTTGATTTTAAATATAAATTTGTTGGTATTTACCGTTATAGTATATAAATTATATTATATACTTCTGTTAAATTATGAAAATTTTTATTTTTAAATATTTATTAAATTTATATATAATGTATTTATATGTAAAAAAATTATATTCTATAATTTGATTTTTTTATTTTAATAAAAATAAATATATTTTCACTCATTTTTTTATTTACTTTACGATCTTTTCATAAATATTTTAATAAATTTTTTATAATATTTTTACTTTATTTTTATATTTAAATATTACTATTTTAAAATTTTATTTTCTTAGAAAAAATAGTATATATTTTTCTATGAAAATTGTGTAAATTATAAACACTAAACAAATAAAACTATATATATTTTTTTAAAATATACTATGTTATACGGAGTATTATATATTTATTTTGTATTTACTATATTATACTAGTATATAATAAATAAATAACTTATTTTAATGTATATTAAATAATTATTTTAAATTTTATTTTATTTTTTATTATTATTTTTCATTCACACCGAAAAAACATACTTGGGTGTACGTTAGACTAAGGCCGTGTTTGGAACGACAATACATCGTTTTTCATTTTAAGAGAGAGTCTTTTTATGGAAATAGTGTTTGTTCAATCATGGCCGTCCATTTTTATTTTTTTTATTTTTGGGATTGATTTATATAATATGATAATTTATTTAGTCCCATATTTAGGGTATTGTTTGATTTGTATTTTTATATTACTTTTGATTTTTTTAATACTTATTTTATACATTTTTTATGATTTAATTTATGTTTTGTATTTAAAATATTTATACTTATTTTTACCTATTTTCTTCAACGATAACTATTGGCTCTCTTTATGTACAAAAAGACTTTGCTACTATTTCATCAATAATATTTAAAAAAAAAAAAACTACCATACCAATGTATATATATATATATATTTAAAATGATAAAAATATATATTAATTTGTATTATTACAAAACTTCAAGACAATTTCTACTTAAATATACAAGTCCTTTTACAAATTTTTAATATGGATATATTTTAACAAATATGTATATATATTATAAATTGTGCAAAAATAGAATATAAATAAAAGCAAAACACTAATTATTACAATGAATGTGGATTGTGTTGGAAATTAATATATATTTCCATAAATTTCGAAAAGTAGATTTTATTTGGTCAATTGAATGAGAAGTTATTACTATTTAACTGCAATTACTGTCTAAAAATATTATTAATAAATAATTAATTATATATATCTGAAACTTTACATTAATGGAAATTTTATTTCATAAATTGAATACAGTAATTCCATTTTCTTTGTTAAATTTCAAATTTTATAACCACTGTTTGGGTTATTAATTATAAGATAGATTTTAAAATAAATTCCTTTCCCAAATTCATAGCAGCCTTTTCCTTTTAAGCCAAGTGGCTCTATTTTTATTTTTATTCATTATTTTACATATTTAATCAATATTTGATTAAAACTTAGGAAAAATACAAAATAATGAATTTGAATGGATTTGAGTAAAAAAATTAAAATTAAAATTAAATTCAAATAAAACTCACAATCACATGTAACTTTTTATTTTGTATTATACATATATATTTCTCATTGAAATAATTATATATCCACTCATCCATAGTTCAATAGTTTATACTATTATTATGATTATTATTATTATTAAAAATTGTTAGGCTTAGAAAAGAACTCTGTTCAAACTTCAAAGGAGGACAGTAGTGTGGCAATGGTGGATGTGCATCATTAACCACTTAGGTTTTTTTTATAAAAAAAAAAAAAATAAAAATAAATAAATAAAGAAATTATTATTTTTTTCAAGTCACACATGTTGAGTTTGAAATTAATTTAGTGATATATGACATTGCAATAAAGCGTGAAATTAAATATTGTTATTAATAATTATATAGAAAATTGTGGAAAGTATTAGGCCAACTAACCGCCCTAACAACACAAATTATATAAAGTTATTACATTTTTATTTATCATATAATCAAATATAATCAAAGAATTTTGTCAAATGTATTTTATTTTCTATAAAATAAATTTTATTGAAAGTATTATACATATTCGAGTTGACTTGCTTTGAGTTTCAAATCAACATTTCTTATTATTCAGTCAATCCACATTTGTTTTAAAAAAATATATTTTTATCATAAAGATATTAAATCAAAATTTAAATTCAAATATAAATATAAATCAAACAAACGCACATATACTATAATAAATTCATAAATATAAGCCATAATACTACTGCTCAATGAGTCGACATGTACTTTTTCGAATTTAGAATATTATTATTTTTTAAGTAAAATAATTATTGGGTACATGTCTTATATAAAAATTTGGCATAGTTTTATGGGAAATGAGATAATATTATGTATATATATAAATAAAGATCACTGTGGTCACTTGACAAATTTTTATATGGTTAGATCTTTATCATTTTGTTAATAGAAATAATATTACTCCCTCCGTCCCGCAACAAGGTGGCGTTTGCTTTTTGCACGTAGATTTTTTAATATTAGTATTATATTGGAGTGTAGTAAAAAAAGACAAAAATACCCCTATTAGTATGGTGTAATATAAAAGTAACGACATTTGTGTAATATATTATAAGTTGAAAGGGTATTTATTATGTGAAGTAGGTAGTACAATTACTAATTAGAAAATGGTAATTTGTTTTGGGACGGATGAAAATCGAAAACGGTAACCTTTCAATGGACGGAGGGAGTATTTAAACTACTTTAAGAAATAAAAATAGAATCACCTACTAAATGCATCATAATTTTTATTATTATTTTTTTTTTCTTTCTTATGAATAAATATTTAAAAATGGATTTCAAAAATAAATTTTCACACCCCAAAATTAGTTGAATTTTATCATCATACTTTTTAGGGTAGAGTTTGGTTAATATCCTTATCATAGGCTGTAATTAGTCCTTTAATTCTCTTGTATTTTCCCCACCTACAGTCACATCTTCAATAAAAATTAGTTCAAGAATGTAAATTACTATTTGACTATTGGAATAATATATATATATATATACACACACACTCACTTGTGATGATGCCAATCTAAATCAACTTTTTGAAAATGATTGATGGTGGTGTGATTAAGGCCCACTAGATTACATTATTTTTTTTCTTAACAAGATTTTCATCATGACATAATTTGCACCTAAAAATAGCATTTTGGCTAAATAATAATAATGATAATAAAAGAATATTTAATTTAGGGTTTAAAGTTTCGTGTTAATCCATCCATATATGGCCTACATGAAAATGCAAAATGTCACATTTAAGCTGAGAGCTTTTTGTCCAAATAATTGAAAATAATTTTAAAAGAGAAAGTAATATAAGTTGGATTTGGAGTGGAATTTCAAACATCACATCACAATTATAAGAGATTTTATTAACTTAAATGGACAATGAAATTCTATTGTATACTTATGTTTTAACAACTTTTTTCATACTTATCGGGGTTCATTTGACAAGTATACATTTTTGTCATTATTAATTGTCCAAATAAAAAATATTTATTTATTTATTTTTAGTAAATATAAATTACGTTATATATTATAAATATTTTAATATTTATACTTAGTAAAAATACTCCTTACACTACAAAACTATCACCAACTATTATTAAAATAGAATATTTATTAATTGTATTTTTTACTTAAATAAGAAATAATAACTTTATACTGCACACAATATTACAAATAATATTATTATAAAAGAATAGTTTTAGGAGTAATTTTTTTATTTTTATTTTTATTCTTCTATTATACTATCATCGATAAAATAATAACATTACATTATGCATACCAAACCAAGTAAATGGTAATATGGGAGGTGGATGAGTATTTCTAAATGTAATGGTGAAGACAATGCAACTATTCTCATTGACAGAGTTTGTTGCAACAGTGAAACTTAAAAAATTAAATATTTTTTAAAAAACTAAAAAGAAAATGAAAAAATAAAAAATAAAAAATAAGAAAAATCAAGAATGAGGAAGCAAAGCAGGCCTTCACTATCAGAACAGACCACACCAATACGGTAATGCATTGTGTTGTCAACTACTGTTATCAGTGAATGCTCTCTCTCTCTGTGTTTGTGCAGACACATATTATATATATATATATATATATTTGGCCCACCATTGCACAACAACTATAAAATCTTTCACAAATCAAATACTCTTAATCAACCTCATCCGTAGTTAATGCTCAATCAAATTAAAAACTAATAAGAAAAAAAATAAAATGATGAATTTATATATATATATATATAGTGGTTAAAGAGGGTCCCGAAGCTATTGATTTACTGACCAGTGGTAGTGGTAGTGGTAGTGGTAGTGGTGGTGGTGGTGGTGGAGGAGATGAAGATCCTCCCCAAATTTCCAGGTTGGTATCAGAAACCTGATCCTGTCAGCCAAAAACAAACGAGGAGGGATGGATGCAACAGCACAACTCAAAACATATCTATGGTATGGACCACCCGGTGGGGTGGGGTGGGGTGGGGTAGGGGAAGGCCAATCATCAAATGCAAGGGTGGGGTGGGGGGGGGGGGGTATTCATTAATCATTATAGGGCTATGTCTTGTATTGACTGAATTAAATCTCATAGTTGAGCCACAGTGAGGGGAGGGGGAGGACCACACCCTACCCTACCCCACCCCACACTACAGACTACCCCTTTGAAACCATATACATAAATTTGGGGAGACATGGATATTCCTAATAATAAATACCTAATTGATTTCACCATTGTCAGATGTCTTGTTTTGAAACTGTGTTTCCTCTGCCCTAGCTTGTTGGTTAGTGTGTTGGGGTGGGGGTAGGGGTTGGGGTGGGAGATAAAGACAATGCACCAGAATCCTGAATCCATATTCAATTTCTTGGTTTACTGCTGGCTTCTTTATGGTTTAGGTAACAAGTAAGAAGATTTCCAGTACCAACTACCAACACTCATTTTCTTTTTTCATTTCACAAACTATGTAAAAGAAACACATTGTATGCTCTGTTTCTTCTTCACTAGGAGTTGTTTGGTTAAGACTTTGTTTATATATATATATATATATATTATAAGTTTTTTTACAATTTATTGACTGTAGTTTAAAAGAAAATCCACATTGAAAACTTATTTTATATAAAATATTGCATTAATATCTATTTACGTCAGATCAAATAATCAGTAGTTTTACCATTCTCAAAACTCTCCAAAATTCCAAATTTTCTAAAACTACCCTCCATCCCAAAACTTCTGCTATCTTTTCCTAATTTCAGATGTCTCAAAAATTTTGTAACTTTTTATCATCTATACACAATGTCCATTTTTATCCTTATAAATACAATCTAAGGAAATATTTTATACCAAAAATTAATACAAAAACGTCGAAAAAGCAAAACAAATTATAACACCTAAAAACGGCATCAAGAAATCAACTTCTCAACTCTAACAAGAATGATTTTGTTCTTCTTTCAAGAAACCAATGATTTGTTCTTTTTAAAGTTTTTTGCTTTTTTCTTTTTTCTTTTTTCAATTCTTTTACTATGCAATCTCAAATTTTCATTTGCTCCATATATTCAAATAAAATTCAAATCCTATTTCAAACATAATTTTATACGAGTAAGTAACATCCTAAATGTTCTCCGATATTTATAAAAGTTCCATTAACTTCTACTGCAAATATAATTCTATACGAGCAAGTAGTATCCTAGATGTTCTCCGATCTTTAGAAGAGTTCCATTAACCTCTACTTCAAACATAACTCTATACAAATAAGTGGTGTTCTAAATGTTCTCTGATCTTTACAAAAGTTCCATTAACCTCTACTTCAAACATAATTCTATAGTGTCCTAAATGTTTTTCAATCTTTAGAAGAGTTCCATTAACCTCTACTTCAAACATAATTCTATACAAATAAGTGGTGTCCTAAATGTTCTCCAATCTTTAGAAGAGTTCCATTAACCTCTACGCCTCAATTATTCATTCCCCGGCCGAATATTCGGTCCACGACACATGGATGAACATAATCAAGTGAAGAAGATGTCAGTAAATTCACCACACCTACTGCTAGCAACATTTAACAAGACTTCCTGGTCCACTACTACAGATTCAAGTACTTTTCTCCCCACATAACTGTTGGAAATCAAAATGCAAAATTAAATCAAGCCAACTACTGCCCAATTGTTTTTAAAAAGGGATTCTGACAAAAAAACCTAATTCATTAAAAGTCCCTACTTGACCAAGAATTCAGGCAACATGGTCCAAATCCAAATCACAAGTCATAGCCACATTGAAAGAAGTTATCATGGTGAAGCAAAAAGGACTTACCTTTGTGGGGAAATCGAAAATGGCCTCAAACTTTCATAAATTGTGGACCTGCAGACAAAACCTACAATGGTGGTTTCAATTCATTAGCTACACATTTAATTGTTTGTAAATTTCAAAAATAGCAAAATTAGATAAATGTGACATCAAATCTCTAAATTATTACACCATAGGATCTCTTCTACCCATTAGAGCCACAAATTTGTCCCTGAATTCCAATAAAGGACATTTCTTGATCAAGTTAGAACCATCATAAGCCTCCTTAAGAATCACAGTGCTTTTTACTCCTTTATTAGTTATGTAAAAAATGCCATGATTCTTGATCAAACAAAGAAGTAATCTTGCCGGTAAACGGTATTCGTTATGGAAGGCATCGAGGTGAGCCGAAGTTAATCTTTTCTCCATCGTCAAACTTAGAAGCTCATGAATCACTGCCACTGCCCTTTTTCGAGCTTTTGGATCTGCCGCTTCGAATCTCTTTGCGTTTAAGTATGGCGAAGGGAATTCCATTCTCTGCCATCTCTTGACTTCCTCGAGATAACTAACATTTGGCCTAAAACCGGCAGGGAATTTCAGTCGAAATGAAGACGGGTACCAATAATTTCCATCTTTCGAAACATTGCCCCTTAATGATCCCCCGTTCGACGCCATCTTCCCCGCACTTTCCTCGCGAGCAGTCACTGCTAACGACGAATCCCAATTCTCTAATGATAAATATTCCTTGCCATTAACCTCGACCAATCGAAAAAACTGAGGATACTTCGGAATCAATGAATTCTTGAAATCATCAGGCAATCCCAACTCACTACTGATCAATTCAATGTTGTCGAAAGGCAATCTACAATCGATTGAAAGCATCAACAGCTTCTGCAAATTTGTAACCAAAATCGGTTCCATTTGCGCAATCACTTCCGATTCCAGTGATGCAATTTCTTTAGCTTTGTCACTTAATGTAACACCAGGAGGAGACCTCTCAATTTGGCCACCAATAACGCGAAAAATCGACGGATACTTATTGATAATAGCCATGTAATTCCATTTCTCCACAAAACCAACGGATTTCTCGAGATCCCTGAGAAGAAGACTATCTTTTTTCTGAGATTGGATAATTGAAACCAAGTTTAGCACCATTGATGGCTTCTTTTGAAGCTCCATCACCCTGTCAAGCTCATGTACCCTGTGGTATATCTTCTTCTTCGGCTTTCTTCCAACGCTGCTCTTATGAATCATCCTGTAATTCATCCTGTAATAACCCGACATAGCATCGAACATTCCATTTTTATTTATCACAAAACTCTTCAAACATCGATGCATTTTGCAAGATTCTTCACGGGGAATTCGTCGAACAGTTGCTGTGCAAAGATTCTTCACAGGCAATTCGTCGAACAGTTTCAGTACAAACCTTCCTGCCAAATTTCAAAACTTCTCTAGATTGTTCCAACCAAAAATCCACGAAGATCATGAACTGCAACGTGAAGAAATCTCCCAAAAATTTCCAGTGGCAAACGGATTCATCAAATTTTTTTCCCATGAATTAGAAATAATCTTCAATGCGTCGCGCAATCGCATATTTTGCATTCAAACGCCATTGACGTTGCCGAAAGCTTCAGCACAGCCTCGAATTTGGTGCGATTAGCTAAAATTAGATTCTTTGGAAGATGAGATTATGAAATTCCCGCCATCATCGTCAGGTGTAACGCACATTTCATCGAAAAGCAAATCGGCCGTCGATTGCAATTAACGGCCCAAATTTGTCTTCACCCATTCGGCCCAAGCCCATAATTTCTTGTAAACCCTATCGGTTAACTAATTTCAATTTCAGTTCTCCGTCGTCTTTCTTATTCTTCCGTTCTCCGACCGCCGGCGTCGTCTTGTACGATCTACACATTGTAAGTTCAGTGCCCTCCCTATGAGAATCTTTCAACACTTTGGATTTCGAGGTTTGAAAGATATTAAGAATTCTGCATGTACAAAATTTAGGACTTATTCTATATCTTGTTTCGGCAATGTCTTATTTTTTCTCCCCGTTTCGCAATTCATTTGTTCATATGTTAATTTTACGAGTTTCCAATGCCCATCATTTGACTATGATAAGTCATAAAAGTATGGTTATTTTCCACTCAATAATAAGTAATTCTATAAATTTATGCTGTTTCCATCTGTACTGTCTCTTTTTATTATTTTGGTCCGGTCCAGTAAATTCAAATGCCAAAGAAAATACAAAACAATAGGTACATAGGACTGGAAGTATATTGATTCACCATAAAATTCTGAAAGGCTCAACTTACGAGCAACGCTAAATGGCACAATGTTTGCCTGGAAAAAAATGATCAAAATTTGTCACATCCAAATATCAAAACCACCATAACGTACTAACCAGCATATGTTAAGGCAATGCAACCAAGTTTTCTTTTCTATTGTGCTCGTCGTCAGCATTCACCGGAAAAGCTATCAGAGGCGACAAGTATTTGATCATACATTGAATCGGAATAGCATGACATCTCCTTCTTGCACGACGTAGTCTTTTCCCTCGGATCTTAACTGCATTTTTCGAATAATATCAGAATCTTTCGGAAAACCACACCACCATATTCAAAATCTCACCTTGAAAACTTTACGAGAAGAAATTCGGTTACATAAAATTCACAATCTTCAAACATTTGGGATGTCTTTGTTCATATTTTTAACGAAAATACAACTATTCAAATTAAAAAAGTTCATCATTCAAAACCCAAACCTCCAAACAAAAACATTCGATCCAAATAAAAATTAAAAAAATAAAATAACAAACAAAACAAAGAAGATTCGATTCAAGAAAGAGATTCGATGATCAACTAGTGAAGAAGCTCATTTAGGTCACCGAAGCATAAAAGGAACTTACCAGTCCCTTCTCCCTCGCGGAAGCAAACGAACCGGCAGCAACAAAATCATCATATGCAACCTTGCATACCAAGATTCAGTTTCAAAGAATTACTTAATTGGATATGACAAATAAAAATTTCAAAAAAAAAAAAAGTTATTGTTTCTAATGACAAGTATTGCTAGATCGAGTAAATTAAATTGCAACAAAATGCTCGAAAGTAGATTTGATAGGAACAATTTCATACTGCAATATCATTTTTCCACACACATATATGTATATATATAGACATTATATCAGCTCATTTAGAATTAGCCATACATTATTGGTCAATTTTCTCATTAGGCTACTGATTTCACAAAGTTATGTACTCCAGTCTCTTACAGTTTCTACACCTAGCATTCATGACAAAATTTACCGTTTCTGCTCGAATAAATCCCCTCTCGAAGTCAGAGTGTATAACACCTGCAGCTTGAGGAGCAGTCATCCCTGCAGACAAGAAGTAATCAGTTCCTGTGCTGTGTAATTATTTATTCCTACATAAGCAGAGTTACAGTTCGCAATCCCGGAATTAGCAAACTTCTGTAACAGAATGAAGAAATTATGGTGTGTTTTTCAAAATGATTAAGCTACTGTCAAGCATATGTTCGTATTGAGATAACTCGAAGATAAATGACTGACCTGCCCGTATGGTCCAAGCTTTTGTTTCCTACAAACAAAGACATTACAAAAGTTCAGTCACCAAAGAAGTAATATTCGTATTACCAGAAACAGACTTTCCTATTTACTTCACCTTCTCGCCAGAAGTGAAATAAGTTCGTAATCCTAAGAGACTGTACGTTGCCCTAATCAAATTTCCGAGACCACTTTCTTCAGCTCCAAGAGATGCCAAATATTCAATCCTTTCTTCTGGTGGAAGTTCAGTAAGCTCTGCTTCAACCTGAATGATCAAAACGACACGACAAAATTGCTGTATTATAAAAGGAAAAAGGAAATTCAATAACCCCATACACTGAGAGTTCATCTGAATTTTACAGAAAATAAGAAGATTAACTCTGATTAAGGAATCATTCGACCTGTGCTGAGATAGTTATTAGTCCTGATTGCATTTCTGAAGCAAGTGTCATCACTTTTTTAACATGAGGATTGGTTTCAGGTTCGGCTAGATCAGATTCCGCCACATTCGCCACATATATCACAGGTTTCATTGTAAGTAAATATAGATGCCTTACAGCATCTTTCTCATAATCAGTCAACAACACAGATCGAGCTGGTTTTCCATCCAACAGAGCTTGCTGGATCTTTTCTAGTGCAGACTTCTCTGCTTCCTCCTGAAATGAGAAGTTACAGGATAATTATTGGTTTTTTTTTTTTTTTAATGGATCAGAAATAATAGCTGATCATAGCGAAAAATATTTTATCATCAAGAGCTGTGCCTTCATTTTCGATTGCGGGTCTTTAGCTTTGCCTTTCTTGAGTCTGTCTAGTCTTTTCTCAACCTGCAATCTTGCAAAAATAAAAACTTGTTTCTATTTGAAGTCTATAACATATGAAGAAGCTAACATTTGTTGCGTTAAATCTAATAGGAGAAAAGGAGATGACGGCATACCTGATCTAAATCTGTAAACACCAACTCTAAATTGATGACATCTATGTCAGATATTGGATCGACTTTCCCGCTCACATGAACAATGTCATTGTCTTCAAAGCAACGCACCACCTAGAAATGAAGTGAATAAAGTGTGAACTACTCGATGTTGGAAAATTCAGGAAATGTAAGCTAGTGTAAATCAAGCATAATCACTTATATTGCAGCATACTAATTTTCTATATTTAACTAAAAAAAATATCATATTCAAAACATCAAACATCAACACCTACTTTCATCTCATCAAATAACTAGTCAAATTCAACATCTTACTATTCAAAACCCAAACCTAAAACCTAAAACTCAAACTTCCAAACAAACACACCCTTGGAACTTTGGTTTATTAGAGAAAAATACATAGATAGACAGACACCTGCAGTATAGAGTCAACTTCACGGATATGCGACAAGAATTTGTTTCCCAAACCCTGCAACCAAATACTTTGTATAAGCATATTTCTTTTGTAAATGTGTATGTATGTGTGAAAATTGAAACAACTGGAAATTCAAGAATCTGAACAAATGGGAATGTCGGGTACGTAGTCATGTTATAATGCTTCACCTCCCCTTGGCTGGCTCCCTTTACAAGACCCGCAATATCAACAAACTCAATGGAAGCCGGGACTGCTCGCTGAGATTTGCTGAGCTGAGAAAGCAAGTTGAGGCGGGAATCTGGAACAGCTACAATCCCTACATTTGGTTCTATTGTGCAGAAGGGGAAATTTGCAGCCTGAGCTTTACCATTCTCAACCTACCAAGTAATGCCACAAGAATGAACATATTAACAAGGCATGTCTAACGTCGTGCCAAAGTGGATCGAGGCTAGGGCTATCAAGTACATTGGAATAAATGGCAAAAGAGAAATAAAATAAAATTACATGCACGTATGGAAAATCAGCTTTGGATGTGACATTTTAGATGAGAAAGAGGTTTAAAAGTGAATTTTATATGGGAAATAAAATTTGGATGTAATCTTGAATGGAAAATAGACATTGTACAATGTGAAAACAAGATCGATGGCACAAATTAACAAACACACCCAAAATAGAGACTTCGACCAAGATTTGTATTCTACAGAATAAAAGGGATAATCAGATGTGCTGTTATAAATGTCGGATTGTTTCATTTACCTTTATGGATTTCAAATTTTGCATATACAATCAAATTCTGATCAAAACACTACAAAAGCTTATTGATAATCAAAGACTATATATATCCCCAAATGAACATAAACACCAGACTTACGGAAAAAAATGCAACAATAATGGCAGAAATAAGGCGTCCATCAACAAGCTACAGAAGGAAAAGAATTAAAGCAGATGAAATTGATTCAATAAAAATGAACATACAACGGCATTGAAGAGAGTAGACTTGCCGACGTTGGGGAGGCCGACAATTCCGGCTCTCAAGCTCATACTTATCTTCCCGACCGAGAAGCGGCGGCGGTTTATGAAGAGCATCGATTGCGAGGTTTTGGAGGGATTCGGCCATTGGATAAGGAGAGAAGACTTGAGTGATATTGGCGACAACACAGAAGGGGCCAGACGAGAGCACAATAGCACTCTCGCCATTGAAGACGAAGACGGCGAACAGAAAACGGAGGATATGGCTATGGCGGCTCCTGAGTTCTTTGCCGCCGTATGAATACTCGCTCTTAAATTATCACTTAAATAATAAATGGAAAACAAAAAAAACTTTGCTGAGTTCGATTTTGTATATTTTAAATTATTTAATGGAATATAAATAAATATTTATCTTAAACCAAATTTAATTTCATTTTTTTATTATTATTACCTTTTTCTATGTATATGTTACATTGTAGACACGGTATTAGATTAAATTGCGTAATTATTTTAAAAAAATGACATAATATGTAAAACGAACGGAAACGATAACATGTTACATTGTAGACACGGTATTAGATTAAATTGCGTAATTATATTTTTTAAAAAAATGACATAATATGTAAGAAGAACGATAACATGTACTTGATATATGTGAGACGGATGAAGTATTATATATAAAAAATAAAAAAATATATTATTTTATTATTAATTTTTATTCTACACTTATTTATCATTGTGTCACTAAGTTCTTTTATCTGATTCAACTCTTATTTATTATATAAATAATATAATAATAATAAATTTGACGAATAAAAAACATATATTTTATTTTAAATAATAGTATCATATCAAAATATATTTTAGCAAAAATTTAAATTAACGAGCATTTGTGTAAATATATTTATATATAGGGTGTGTTTGTTTGGAGGATTTAATAAGATTTCTACTATTCATCCAATTTTTTCCCCCCAAAAATATCAAATCAAACACTTATTTTTCATTTTTTATATTATACTAAAAATCAATTTTACATTCAAAACATCACATCAACACCTATTTATATCACATAATACAACTATTCAAATTCAAAATTTTTACTATTCAAATCCCAACTCAAAATCCAAATCCCCAAACAAACACACCCATAAATAATTTTTTTAGGATGTGTTTGTTTGGAGGTTTGGATTTTGAATTGGGATTTGAATAGTAAAATTTTGAATTTGAATAATTGTATGATGTGATGTTTTGAATATAAAATTGATTTTTAGTATAATATGAAAAATAAAAAATATATGTTTGATTTTATATTTTTAGAAAAAAAATTTAGAATGAATAATAAAATTTTGTCAAAAATCAATTAAACGAACACACCATTAGTGAATAAACTACATGTTAAATATTCTGTATAGATATATGTATTTTTATATCTTTATATCTGTCAAATTATATTTTTTTTTACGTTAATATTTATATATAATTTATTGAATAATTTTATTTATTCATAATTCTATTAATGAATAGACAAAGTTTCTTTTACCCGTAATTATATCAATAATTATTTTTCATTATGTGTTTGTTTACACGAAATATTTCTTTTAATTCTTAATACATATATTTTTTATTGTTTCACAAAAAGTTTGTATTAAATATAAAAATATTATTTTTTACTCTACATAAAAAAATAAATTAAAAATCATAATATTAAACAATCAAACTCTATATTAATATGAACAAATAAAAATATGCATAATTCGAAAATTCGACTCAAATATAATATGAAAATCGGACTCATGCATAGTTGAGTCGAGCTGAAATTTTTAAAATTTAAAATTTAAAACAATGTATTTTATAATTAATAAATTGTAACATTATGTTTGATTGGAATTTTGAATTTAAGCAGTAAAAATTTTAATTTTAATGATCATTGGGTAAGATATAAATAAATATTAATGTAATATTTTGAATAATAAAATATATTTTTAATATAATATAAAACATATGAGTTTGTAGGGGTTCAAACACCACGCCTGAAAGTTCATTTGTCACACATAGTATAGTGTGACGTGTCTTTTTGGTCCTAATTTGTAGGGAATTAGGTTGGGTCGAAGTTCACCAAGAATACACTCAATTAGTAACGATTGCGAATTCTCACGTTATTAAAAAAAAAAAAAATGAATTTGATTTGATATTTAAAGAAGAAAAACTTATAAACAATGAAAATATTTGAGAATATAATATTGTGTTTATTTTGTATTTTGATTTGAAATAATATTTTTTCCATGAAATATAAAAAATTATGTAATTTAGATAAAAAAAAACAAAGATTACAATCAAACAAAAAAAAATTTAATAATTTATGATTTAAATAATTGCATTAATAATGTATATTTATATTTATAAAAATTTAAATAATTTAATTCATAATATCTTTGATGTTTTTTTTTGTTAAAATTAATTAATATCTATTTTATTCATATAATATTAAATAATATATATCGTCTTATTACATTTAGATTTCACTCAGAATATTTTTTTTAATAATCATATTATAAAATAACATATTTCAATAAGACATAAAAAATACTAGTATTTTATATAAAATAAAATATATTTTTATTAAAAGTTAGATAAAAAAAAAAAGTGAAAACTTTTGTTTCTAATCAAAACCAAACAATTATGTATTTTGTTTGTATTTTTTCATGAAACTCATTGTTCAATCTACGATTTATAATAAAATATAATATTAAAATAATGTTCAAATAGAAAATTCAATATCAAAACCAAACAAACCCCAGCAATTGTCGTGTTTTTATGTCAAAAAATCAAACAAATAAAAAACAATGCAATGAAAATTGAAATCGCGCGTTGAAATTATTTATCAATTATATATATATATATATATTTATATATATAAAAGATTTCCGGACGTGCAAAAAAACCTTTCGGCTGGAGTTTTTACTTTTGTTCGTCCAATGTTCCCTTGCGTTGCGCCCACCCTAAATCCACGACTCCTCCCGATATCAATCAATCCCTCCTTCCCTCCCATAGATTAAATCCAAATCCTCCGCAACGATTTTTCTATCCTCTTTTCTTCGCTCAATTATTCCCTTTCCCAGGGTTTGCTGAGGGGGATTTGTTATTCTAGATGATTATTGGGCAACTGTGGTTGTGATTTTTCAGTGTCCAATTGTTTTTTTCCCGTTCATGCTTGATAAATTTTGGGCGACCGACCGTTTTGGTGTTCTTCGGAAACCCTAGAATTTTGGAGGGCGGGGATTGATACGCGGAGGGCACGTCGTCTAGCTCTGACAATTTTGACTGCTTGGTGCTGATTTCGTTTTGGTTTTGTTTGTGAAGTTCCTTTTTTGAGTTATATATAGTTCGGAGAATCTTCTGGGGGTTTGTGGTAGCTCAGTGGTGTGTATTTGTTCTTAGGGTTTGTTTGTTAGAGCAGGAAAGTTTGGAATGGATGGATATGGCGGCGGCGGGGGCGGTGGTGGAGGCAGTATTGGTGATTCGTCTAAGATTCAGGATCTTACACCGTTTGGCTCAAAAATCCTAGATTCAGGTTTGCCGTAATATACTTTTTTTAAGATGTGTATTTAAGCTTAGTAATCGGATCTGCGTAATATGTTCGTTTATACAATATCAATTAATTGAATTGAAGTATCGGATTTCTTTAATTTCTGGAGTTAATTCTGGGCTTTACGGAATGAAATCACGAGTGTTCTTCTATGACCTAATTTTGGTCCACTTGGTTTTGAAATTACGACTCGTTAATTTTTAGTGGGTTCTCTGCAGATGATTTTGTTGCACCGCTTGACCTCAGTATTCTTTATTGTTCTTTTTGCAGGTGAGGATGAGTTTGATGCATCGAGGTATGAATTCTTTGGTGGCGAAGTAATGGAGGAGGTTGAACTTGGGGGATTGGAAGATGAAGAGGATGATATTGTTGCATTCGGGCTAGGGGAAGAAGGATTTCTGTTGGACAAGGGAGAGGTTGCTATTAATTGTTTGAAATTGTGTGCTAAGTTCAATAATTTCATGTATCTATTTAGTTTTTACTGGTTAGGTATTGTTTTTGCATATACTGAAAGTTTTATGTTCTGCTTATTTACTCATTGCAGCTACTGTTTTATTGATGGCCTTATATTCCATGTATTGAATATGAGCATTTTCTTATGGTCAGGAATATCTAGTCTTTCAATCTGTGAGCCATAGCTTCAGTAGTTTATTCAATGTGTTGATCGTGTAGAAGTAGAGAGTGATGTTTTGTATAAGTCTGTGTCAATGGATAGCAACACTCTATTGTTTCTGTTCCTGTTTGGTGGACTGGATTTACGTTTAACTCTTTCTTCTGGCCTTTCTGCAGGATGATGCATTGGGACCCCTGTCAGACATTGATGATCTTTCTAGCACATTTTTGAAGGTAAGGCTTTAGCATATTTTCTTAGATTTCATGTGTATGTATAGAATATGTTCCAGATACTTGAGTAAATGTCCATGGTCAATTTATATCTGGTTAAAGTGTCCTTGCGATGGATGCCGTGTTTGTCACATGTAAGATATCTATACGTTGCATGCATGATGATCAATGTGGCCTCATTTCTTATACATTCTTGTTGTAGATCATTTCAAATCTTCATTAGATTCTGCTTTCCTGTTTAAGCTTGATGTTGCAATGATGTTACCGGTATCTCATTGTTTACTTACACGTGTTAACTTTTAATGTAGTTGAACACAGATGTCAATCTACCTACAAGTACAGGTGGTGGCAGAGATTGGCGGCTCAGAGAAAGTGAGTGCATTTAAATCAGAATACCTTTCAAAAACTTATTTCCATATAAGTGGCAGTTCGTTGCTCTGCTTATTTCCTGTTTTAGTAAAGTTGATAGAAACATGCCTTTTGTCGTTTATGGTTTGGACACACTCGATAACTGTATCATGACTGGAACTACTATGTGATTAACTTATGTGATTTTACTGCTTCCTAGTGCAGTAATTGATTTGGTACTCTTTTATGTGCTATCATTTGCTAAGTTTCGTAATGTTCATGGATCTGTTCGTAAAATCGTAAACATTTTGGGGATGAACGTGCATTTAGATGTCAAATTAAAAATAAATCAATTGAAGCTTAGCTATTCAAGATGTGGTTCTAAGATGAAGTACTATGCTTGAAGTGCACACGCTCAAATGTATCTAGGCTTGTTTGAAGTCTTAAAACCTAGTTAACTGTACTCAGCTCCATTAATGTGTTTTTGCTTAGACTTACAACTGAATCCATGTTTATTACGCAATATTAGAATGATAGACAGTTATTCTTGTTTAAGACTGAGCCCATTTGTGCCTAACTTTTGGATCCATAAATTGACTCAACGACCAAAATTGATGTCCTTTTTGCCCGACCATTTTTTTTTTTTTTTTCCAATTTTTGGATCTTTTTGTTTTCCCAATGCTAACACCTTTTCACTTTTGTGATAAGTCAATGTGGAGCTTAGAACTATAAAATCTGGTAAATCGTTGATTTTTGTATATTGTGACATTGTAGAATATTTAATGTCACAATAAATGAAATAGTGATCGACTAGGCATTATGTCCTTTGGCAATTTATCATTTTCCTTATATGCTCCTTGAGCCAAAAATGAAAACGCCCTATTCATTGCCTTGCGCTTATAGTAGATTTCCATTTTCCTCATTGCGTGGAAGTAAACTCTGGTCTTTATTGCATTGAAAAATTTTAGACTTGTGTAACTAATAACGGATAAAAGGGCAAAGTGAATTTTTGGTCCTATAATTAGTACCTTGTTATCATTTTGATTCTTTAAGTGGAATTTGTATAGTAATGGTTTTGTGGCTCACTCATTGTCGCTCTAGTTATGTATATGCACGTGATACTCATAAATGCATTATGGAACCATCAAATGTCACTCTTCGTTGAAGAAAACATCTACATGAAGGACTAGAATTATAAGAGGTGTTACTTATAGGACTAAAACTACGTTTTCCCTATAAAAACCTACTTTCTATTTCCTTTGTTGACCACCTTTCTTTGCTATGGGAATGGATTTAATGAGGGAGTTGGGTTTTTGTGGGTGATCAAGCACTTATTTGGGCTGCAATCCTCATTTCAATTGAGGCAACTTGTACTCAATTTATATCAAATTTGAGGTTTTGTGTAGTATATACTAGTACAAATTCCAATAACTTGAGCTTGACTTGTTCTTATTCCATGTTAGGCCAATTTGACATTTATGACAAGTTACTATAATACCCTATGAGATGCTACTTTTATTCTAGTATACATAACTCACCACAGTTGTGCTAGCTCTTTGAAGCCATGTGGCAAGGCAATTCTGGAATGTGTTGTCGTATTGCTATAAATAAGTTTATATATTAGAGCCACTTGTCATAGCATCTTTTGTATATATAATATATAAACTATTAAATGAAATTTGCATGTTAGACTTTCTCAAGACAAGTGAATTTTATTTGTCAGTAAAACAATAGCACCAAAAGTTAACTCCTTCGCCGTTTAACCAAAACTAGAAATTCTTTGGTAATGTTGCCTTGGTGTTAGGTGTAAAAATGGTGCTGCCTCAGCATTTACGTTGTTGAGGTGCTGGCCGCATGTACTGCTTCTTGCGTATGTCTTTCTTTTTTCACACTGCCTGATTAAATATGTCTTTAATTAAAAGAAGTATTAAAAGATACACTTAGGCTCATGACTTGTGCTCCTACCATTCTCTAGTCTCAATGTCTCCTAAAAGAAAAACGCTAGCTTTGAAAGTCTCAGACCTCAAAATGCGCCTTGTGTGCAATTTATATTTAATGTTTCAGCCAATTTTAGGCAATCACACTGTCAAACATATCTAACCTAAAAGAAAGTGATTATGGCTTGTTCGCCAGATTATATTAAAAAAAGGAGAACAAAAATCTACTATAATGAAAAGATGAAAATGGGCAAGACATGAATGATGAAGGAACTGTAGAGGGAGAATGAAACAAAGAGTATTGAAGTAGAACTTCTATTTGGTTCTTGATAATAATGAAATATAGGAATTACCTGGTTATAGCTGATTAGAAGAGCCTTATACTCGTATAGGCAAGGAAGAGCATTGCAGAAAGCAAACATTGCTAGAGAATTGCTGTTTTAATTTTCCTCATCTCCTTTGTACAAATAGATTATAAAGCATGCTTAATAACTAGGGTGTATCTATATGCACTGTTGGTGAGCTACAATGCGTTCATAGATTTTTTACTAGGAGCTGAAACCTTGAGAAGGGTTGTGCTTAACATCTATTAATGTGTATATACACTGTTTGTGAAGTGTGCTTGGTGCATGATGTGTTAATATCTTGGCCCAGAGTCTGAGCTTAAAGAAGCAGGCTGTCTCTAATAAGTATGTTTGGGTACTTACCGTTGCTTAAATAGCGATAGTAGAAAGGCTACACTTTTTTCAGATGTAAAATTTTCCGTGAGATAATATATATTCTTTTTGGGGAGTTAAGTAGTTATGAATGCAAAAATTACTAGTTGGGTGGTTTGGTTTAGTTAAATATAAGTTCGACCAAGATTTGAATTTGAAGCTATGTATGATGAATGTGTCAGTTAAAATTTTAATTTGTGAAGACATTTTCAACGAGTTTTTCTGTGGCAAAAACATTTAATCTGTAATGGTAAGCATTTTATCATATCCTTATCTGATGATGGTTTTTCTTTTCAGGTTCATCGGCTGCAGAGTTTCCGCCTGGTTTGGATTACCCTAATTGGTTTGATAAGCATGGTTATGATGCTGAATCTTTTCAGGAAAGCCAGAAATGGCCCTCGGCACATTCCCCATCTGCCCACTTTATGGAGCCCAAATCATTGTCCCGAGCATCCTCATACCCTGAACAACTGCAGCGTCCTCCACAACAAAGCCTACATCATCAGCATTCTTTCGAACCAATTCTTAACCCAAAATTACCATTCACTACATACCCACCCCCTGGCGGCCGATTGCAGCAAGGTTTGCCGAATGACCAGCCTGGCCATCCTAATATCCCTTATCACCCGCCAGTAGTGTCATCCGGTCTTTCTACTTTCCCAAATCCTCAGCTTAAACTTAATCCTGTGCCTCATGGATCACAGTTTGGTGGAAATTTTCCTCAGTTACCTCATGGTCGTCCCCCGGTTAACAGTCAGCTGCAAAATCAGTTTGCGGCGCAAAGTGGCCTACACCCTGGAAATCATTCTGGTCTCCCGAACAATTTTCCGCCGCAAAAGTTTCCTCACCAAAATGGTCTAATGCCTGCACAGCTGCGACCTCTGCACTCCCAGCAACCGAGGATGAAGCTTCCGTATCACGGTTCCTTTGGTCATCTACCCGGGCCGCATTCTCAACTTCTGAATTCTCAGCTTTCTCAGTCGCCTCCTATGCTCAACAACTTTGACATGCTCGGGTTACCGGATTTGAGAGATCAAAGGGCTATGCAACATCAGAGAATTCGACCAGGTATGCTTCATCCTCATCCAGGCTCTGATTTTTATGGCCAGAGGAATGATCGGGGATGGCCAAGGTTTAGATCGAAGCACATGTCTGCGGATGAGATTGAAAATATTCTTAGGATTCAGCTTGCAGCTACTCACAGCAGCGATCCATATGTAGAGGATTATTACTATCAAGCTTGCCTGTCGATAAAATCTGCTGAATCTAAGCTGAAACATCATTTCTGCCCGACGAATTTGAGGGACAGTTCTTCTAAGCCTCGGAGCAGCAACGAGCAGCATGCTTTTCTACAGGTTGATGCTCTTGGAAGGGTTTCGTTTTCTTCAATCCGCAGGCCACGGCCACTTCTAGAAATCGACCCCCCGAAATCAACCAGTGGGGACAGTTCTGAATCAAAACTTTCTGAAAAGCCACTAGAACAAGAACCGATGCTTGCAGCCCGGGTGACTATCGAAGACGGTATGTGCCTTCTACTCGATGTTGACGATATCGACAGATTTCTACAGTTTAATCAGCTCCAAGATGGCGGGGTTCAGTTGAGGCAGAGGAGACAGGTTCTGCTCGAAGGTTTAGCGTCGTCACTTCAGCTTGTCGACCCACTCGGGAAAAATGGCCATCCGGCTAATTTGTCTCCTAGGGATGATTTTGTATTCTTACGGCTAGCTTCTCTACCTAAGGGCCGGAAACTCCTTTTGAAGTATCTTCAACTTCTAAACCCCGGCGAGCTCACCCGAGTCGTCTGCATGGCAATACTCCGGAATCTGAGGTTTTTATTCGGCAACCTTCCTCCCGACACCGGAGCTCTCGCAACAACCACCAGCCTTGCCAAGACAGTGTCGTTGTGCGTCTGCAGTATGGAGCTTAAAGCTCTCGCCGCTTGTCTCGCATCCGTTGTGTGCTCGTCTGAGCACCCCCCTCTGCGCCCCATCGGCAGTCCTTCCAGCGATGGAGCGTCTGTTATTCTCAAATCTGTGCTCGAGAGGGCAACCGAGCTGCTCCGAGACTCTCATTCTGCCGTCAGTTGCAGCGCGCCTAACCGAGCTTTCTGGCAGGCCTCTTTCGACGCCTTCTTCGGCCTTCTCACTCAGTACTGCTTTAGCAAATATGACTCCGTTGTGCAATCCTTCCTTGCGCAGCAGATGACGAATGGCGACAGTGGATCTGACCTCGCCAAAGCAATCAGCAGGGAAATACCTGTCGAACTTCTCCGGGCGAGCCTTCCCCACACTAATGAGCAGCAGAAAAAGGTCCTCCTGGAATTCACACAGCGATCAATGCCGATTCCGGCGGTGGCTGCCAGCGCCTCCGGTGGCGGCAATCTAATGCCGTGAATGAAGGCAGACGGCGTGGCAGGGATGAAGTTACCGAGTGCGATTTCAGGTTATTTTCTGAGGTGAAGGATTGATATATTATTATCATTCTTGGGTATCGTCATCAACATCATCTATCTTAATACTAAAAGCAGTGCAAGGTGGTAAGGTAAGTCTTTAAGTCATGAGTGAGAAAGATACTACACTAGTTTTTGTTTTTGTTTATGTTGCTGTAGATTTAGATGATGTAGAATTGCTTCTGCTGCTTCGGATTTTCTCACTCTTCGTTTTACAAATGTGTTTTTGAGTTATAAGTTGGTTTCTCTTTCTCTCTCTACATGATGGAACAGATTTTTGAAGTATGCCATCTGTGTCTCTCGTGATTTGGATTTTCTTTCTTTTTTTTTGTGTTTCTTGGGGGCTTATTTTGATGCTCTCTTCTCCTTGTTGGTGTGCTAGTCTCATCCCTTCTAAGATGTTCTTTGGGATCTCTCTCTATTGGCTACGGTTAAGATGGTTATGTTATATTGATCTTATTGATGGGAAATTGAGTTAACTAGATTTTATAGAGTTAATTTAGTAAATTTGTATATGTTTAATGTGTAGATTTAAATTTAATGCTACAAATGTGTTTGCTGCCTAATATTTTAGATTATTTTAACTATATGTTAAAAAATAAATATTAGATATGCTAGGTGAACATGTGTGACAGCAGTCGCAAATTCATACCATGTCATCCTTTTAATGTCTTGTATTTATATACATATATGTGTATGTATATTGTTGATTAAGTATGATTGGTGTATTTATATATACATATATATATATATTGTTGATTAAATACGATAGGTATGTTAATTACCATCTGCTTATATGTTATTGCTGTTAAAATATTCTTAAGTTATTTTATCGAGTTGTGATGAAAAAATATATATAAGTATATTGTTATGGTATTTGTATATAATAATTTTATAATTGTAACATCAATTGAATATTGATGTTTAAATTAAGATTAATTTAACTCTATATTGTACCAGTTAGCCTCAATTTGCACCTTTTAAGAAATGTTGTGTATGGCAGTGCCCTTTAATTTTTTATAATACCTTTTTATTTTTATTTGGTTCTAATTTCAAATTAAAATTAATAATCCTTTCGTCCCCTCCGAGAAAGGGATAATGTATGTCTGTATGTCTTATTGGAAATCGTAAGAAAAAATTAAAAGATTAAAATACTGATTTTTAAAAATAAATTAAAGTAATAATTAAAAATAGTTTGAAAAAGTATTGAACGCAATAATTAAAAATAGTTTAAAAAAATAGAAATAATTTTATTATATAGTGGAGACCACGATTGTTAAATAAGGAAAACTGAAAACGACCCAACTGAACAACACAACTAGTTTGTTTATTTATTTGATCACATGTAGTTTCAGGAAAGACGAAAACGACAACGTTTTGATTCTAAACATAAACCTATCTAGCGTGATCCTTGATTCTGCTTCCCTTCATCGCCGGCGCCGGGAGGTCGGGATTGCTGGTTCGTCGGCGGTGGCTCTTCCTGTTCGGCGATATTACGAGCGCCGGAGAAGAGGTCGACCGGCTGGGAATCGGCGATCTTACCGGATTCCAGTGGCGTGCCGTTGCAATATCCCACTCTCAAAGCCTCGTCTTCCGACAGCTTCGCCTGCGCCGTCGCGTGCTTAATGTCGTCCTTTCCACGCGCTGCCATCGTTCTCTACTCTTCCTCTTCTCGCTGAAAGGACGGCTTATATAATTAGGGTTTTTGGCGGTACTGTGCCACGTGTCAATTTTATAGCTTATATACGTGGAGCGGTTAGGGGAAATAACGGTGGACACCGACTTAGAGAGTTATGTTTTTATAAGTTGGAATGTGCAGGTGTGGGAAAAATATAGATATAGTAAAATATTAAATTTCAATAAATAAAATAAAATCTAAAAAGGTTATAAATTTTACAATAACAGTTTGTTAATCTTCAAAATTATATGTATATTGTTAGCTTTTTAGCCCGGCCCAAATCAAATGGGATCATGGGCCGTTTGTTATAGTTTTGGCCTTATCCAAACCGGCTTTTATCAAAGTTCAATTTGATCCAAGCCGAGCTGAAATGCAGTAGTTAAACGGGCCGGGCCATGTCAACACCACGAGACCCGACCGACCCCCTGTTTTAATGTTTTTAGACTCGAGTTCAAACGGGCCCAAGTCAAAGGGTCTTGACGGGGCTGGGCTGGACTGGGCTGAGGATATCTATATTTGGAAAGCTAAATTTGAGACCCATTAAAATTAATTTTGAAAAGTTGGTTCCCTCCATTATAAGAAACCGGATCCTTCGAGTAAGTTTTGACCGGATCACACGTGTCGTGATTTGATTGGACGCAGGTGAGGACCCACCGTACGATCAGTGCTATTTAATATGGGCAGAGTGTGTACTGCGCACTGCGATCTGTGTACTCTGAAGCGGACAATGCTACGCTACGCTCTCAACAAACGAAGCTATTCAGAGCAGTGCGAACCCTAGCTCCGCATCCACATTTATTTACGTTTGCCTTTATTTGCTCATACATTCAATTTCTCTCGATTTTGGCTTTGAATTTGGCTAATATATGCGGTTGTGGTGATTGTGTAGTGTTTTGCGGTTTGTGTGTATGTTTTTGTTGTTGTTTTGGCGGTGAGGTTCGGAACGAGTTGCATGATCGCCGGAAATGGCGTCGGCGTGCTTGAACAACATCGGAATGTTGTCGGATAAGTTTTTGGACTGTAAACCGGTTAAATGTCCGTCGTATGGGTGGATGAGCCCTAGAGTGTCGTTCGGCTGCGAGTTTCCAGATAAAGAGGCGTCTAAAACCACATCAACCATGGTGAATAATGAAGCGGAGGTGGGAAATGTAGATGAAGAGAAGCAGGAGGATTCAGATCCAGAAATATCTGGCAAGGATTTTGTAGATTTCGAGTTCCGCCTTGAAGATCCGGTGAAAATGCTCCCCGCCGATGAGCTGTTCTTCGACGGAAAGCTCGTGCCACTGCACCTTTCCACCGTTCAGAAGTCGGATAATTCAGGTTTGGATTCGTCCGAAGTCACACGGGAGGAAGTTTCGAAATCTCGCCGGAGAAATGAGATTTCCGCCACTGATACTTACCTGTTTTCTCCCAAAGCGCCGAGTTGCTCCGGCCACTGGAAGGACCTCCTTGGCTTGAAAAAGCTGTATCTAAACACCACTGCTAAGCAAGAAATTCACAAAACAGGATCGGAGCTGTCGTCGTCGGCGTCTCATAATCAGAACAGAAAAACTTCTAGAAGCGTCAAGCAGTTTCTTCTCCGTGGTTCCAACTCCGGATTAAATTCATCCATGGATTCATCACCGTTAACTCATCCTCTGCTCAAGAAATCCGACAACGAGTCGCTGTCAATCTCCTCACGCCTATCGCTCTCTTCATCCCTACCTCACGAACACGACGATCTTCCTCGACATTCGCTCGACACCGAGAAACCTATCTCCGCCGCGCCTCGTAACACACGTCAAATCACAAAAAATCTCCCCAGACCTCGAGCGGTCAAACTCAAGGCCGCCGCGCCGTCGTCAGATCGGAGTCCATTACGGAAATCATCGGAATCTACACCTCCGGTGCGCGACGCTTCAGCAGACAGTCCACGAATGATCTCCTCCGGCAAAATACTTTTCCACAGCTTGGAGAGAAGTTCAAGCAGTCCGAGCACTCTCAACGGCGGTCCTCGTCACCGACACCGAGGAGGCATAGAGCGATCAAATTCCGCTCACGTCGTCCGCGTCACTCCGGTGCTCAACGTTCCGGTATGTACACTTCGAGGTACCTCTAAATCCACCGTTTTCGGTTTTCCTCTATTCTCTTCTCCGCAGAAGAAAGATTCCGCCATTGCAAACAGAAACCAGCAGCACCGCACGAAGCTCCGCACGGATCGAACTTCATAGAGGACGATGATCTAACGCAGCAAACATCTCAGGTACCAATGCTTACTTATCCTTCTGTTCTTCATCCTATCTATATGGATCTTAATAAATTAGCATTATCTTCCTAAGCTTCCTCTTATGTGATATTATAATTTGCTCTGCAATTTCTTCCAGTCACTACTGAATCTCTACATATTCATATCAATCTCTCTTCTTCTTCAAATTGATTCTGCATTTGGTATTGATTCATGATAAAAGCTTAGAACAGCAAGAACAATCCGTGTGCTTAATTCAAAATTGTTACTGTCAGTTAACCCCATTAGGAAGCATCTGTTGTGGTTTATGTTGTTTAATTTGCTGTTTTGGGGTCAGCCTAGAAAATCCAACCCATCTCCATCGTACCCACTGCTTGCGTAGAGAGAGAGAGAGTCATTGAATGAAACAATGGGTAGAGGGAGGCAGGGATAAATAGCTATAAAATATCTCTATCATAAGCTGTTATGGAATTCAGTTGTCGTTATCTCCCCACTTCTCCCTGTCCTTATCACCATTCTAGGCTCAGTTTTAATAGAGGTTTTTGGAAGTTCCGATAGAGATTTTTTAGTTTTGGGAAATTTTAATAGAAAATAATAATAATGAAAAATTAATACTATATTAGTGATTATATTTATTGTTAATCTGTGTTTCAAATAACAAAAAAATAAAAAAGCAAACCTATTGATCCATGGGCTATTATCCAATTCACTTCACATCATCATTTAATTTGCTCTTTGTTCTAGAATTATTTCGTGGTAATAGAGTTAGATTCCGTGTTTGTTTAATTATTTATATAAGGTATAGTTACTGCTGCTGCTGTCATTGAAATATTCATTTTATTTTTTTTGTTGGTTGTCATTTAAAAATCTCATTGTTTCTCTTTCTAATAAAAAAAATTATATCTAATTTTTGTTTTTTGTTTTCATTTTTTACTATAAAGGAAAAAAAAATATTATTTATAATATATTCATAAAACTTGGACCTAAAAGTAAAAATATATTTTTTGGAAGAAGTAATTGTTATGTTTCTTTTGCCCAAAATCTTATATTTTTATTATTTGGACTCTGCGTTTTTTTTTTAAAAAAAAATATTTTTTTCTCTTACAAAATATCTCATCATATATTATTATAATATCAAAATCAAACTAATTTTTTTAAACCCAATCTAAAGAAACATACCCAATATTTTTTTAGTTCTCTCATGCGAAAATATATAGTATATGTTGCTTTTAATATACTCCTCTTAGAAAATTGAATTACTCAAATGAATAAACCAATGCATGTTATAGGTTGTGTGTCTTGTGTTTAAATACGTGTTAAAAGTATTTGAAGTTTTGAAACTATTAAAGAATAATTATTTATTTGATATGATATTTTGTATGAAAATAAAATTTTAGTACTATAATATTTTAATTTAAAAATTAATATTTGAGACAATATTAATTTATACTTTAAATATCACATCTAGCGTATGGTGTCATTAATATATACTCCAATAAATACTTAAAAATTAAGTATGTATTAATGGAGTATAATATTATATGGTGTCATTTGTTAGGTGAATGAAATAGTCCCTAAACTTACGGATCTCGAAAAACATAATCAAAATGAAGACAGGAGGGTAAAGTGAAAAAGTCATAGAGGAATCAAAAGACATCCTAATCATAACCATAATCATAATAATATGAATATACTACTCAATGGTCATTCATTTGTGTTGTGTGAATGTACACTATAGTACATGTAGGCAGTTGCAGTCTCTCTCTCTCCTTCTCTTACTGCAATAAAGTACCGTACACCTGCAGCTGTACAATATGACCTCTTCTAGTTCTAATTCATAAATAACAAATTGGAGTAAGAAATTCGTATTCTATGTTTGATTTAGACCATATCCAACTTTTGCTTAATTTATTTAGTAGCTGCAGTGAAAACATAAGTTAGATATAGAGTAATTTTACTTTAATAATTATTTTTTTTCTTTTTAAAAAGAATATTTTCCATATATTCTAGTTTTTTATATTATTTTCTATAATATCTCATTTTCATACTATCATCCAAAAAAATATATAATAAAAAATTATACATATAAAATACAAAAATTAATTATAAAAAAAATTTAATAATTATTTAACGTATAGATATACATAAATATTATATATATTTATATTCAAAAAATTACAAAATAATTATTAAAAGAAAATAAAAAATCAATTATTCCGCAATGGAAAAAATATATAAATAAAAGATTAATTTAAGAACAGAAGATATTTTAGAGTAGAGATGGTTTAAAATACATTGGGTTGTTTGATTTTGGCGGCACGTGACCTGCTGGTGCATGCATGTGCTGACAGTATTGATACAAGCAGTGTCTCGTCCTGCAACTGTAGCTTCACTGTTATGGGCTACAGCCACAGGCTAAATAAAAATATCGACATATATAATTAAATTTCAATTCTAGCTATGCATACATATATATATATATGTTTTACATGATATTTTATTAATAATGCTATAAGGTAAATATATGTTAATGCAGTGCTAATTGGAGCAAATTATCGTAACATTGTATAAAATAGGCAAACAACATTTGATCTTGTTTAACACCACACATGCTGTTGTGTTAAATAAAAGAAGGTATCGTTTAGTCCATATATATATATATATATGTATATTATATGGATATAATTGTGCACCCTGCTAATAAGTACCTTTATTTTATTATATATTTATCATTGTATAATCATTTTTACATCAAAAAATAATACAATATTATCTTTATATTATTTTTAATTATCTACTATCATTAAAATTTTATTATTATTTAAATTTGTGGCGAAAGTAATTGTATACATTTAACCTGGGATGAAAGTAACTGTATAGAAAATCAAATCGAAAATATTACTTGTATACAACGCTGGTAGTATTTAATTGGTTTATGTGCGTCTTTCTATAGGAAGGACTTTTTTGTGATATACATCAATCAAATTAGCGTTAACTTAGGGACACTTCTTGTGATACACTCAACTTATATATATTGTTTATTTATTTCAATTTAAAACTATCATATTAGAATATGTCTGTGTGAGTATTAATTTAATTTTAGCCTTACATTAATAAATAATTATATTATGTACTGAGTAATACCAATGAACAGTAGATAAGCAAATAAGCGTGTTCGCTATTGCACACGTTTGACCGTCGACCCACAGGGCAGTTTGTACTTACGTAGTTATGTTGTTGGTACTAATAATCCAACGGTTGCGTCGACACGAGATTAGCACGTGCGAACCCGGGCACTGATATTCATATTTTAGTTTTTTATGTTTATTTTATGGGTGAGCATCAGAGCCATTATGACGACAGCTTGCTGGCTGGCGGCTCGGCTTATATAGGCTGGTTTGTTGGCCCAATAAAAATGCATTGATATTAAGCCCGCTCCCTTCGTGAATGAAAGTTGTGATTATTTTCATAAGTAGGGTCGTCGATTCACATTTTTGGATCGTGTTCGTGTCAGATAGAGCCATGAGGATAATAAAAAAACTGTCAATCCAAACTCGACTCAAATTCAAAATCTGATATGAAACCCTAGATTCAAACACGACACAAATTCTTTCAGGTCGAGTTCAGGTTCAGGTCACTCGAAATTCGAACAAACTCAATACAAACTCGACACGAAACAGACTCAAAAATTTAAAAAAAATTAAATTGACCTAAAAAATATAATTTTTATTTTAATTTTTATATTATTTTATATTTAAAATAATATAAATATTATAAATTAAAATAATAATAATAAAAATTTCAGGTCAACCCGAAACACGAAATCTAAAACCTAACCTGATTTTGATATTTCAGGTTATCAAGTCAACCCGAAACACGACCCGAACACGACACGAATTTTTTTCGTTTCAAGTTCGGGTCGACATGATTTTTTTAAAACCCGAAATACCCAAACCCGAACCTGAAAATTTCAGGTCGAACGGGTTCGATTTTTTGGGTCGAGTTTACTTTTGACACTTCTATTCATATGCATTGTTTCCATATTTAATTTAAATTATAGTATTTCCTTCGTCCCATTGCAAGGTTGTCGTTTACTTTTTGCACGTAGATTTTTTAATATTAGTATTGTTAATAAATTGTAGTAAAAAAGACAAAAATGTCCCTCTTAGTATCGTGTAATATAAAAGTAATGACACTTGTGTGAGATATAGTGTAAGTTGGAATTGTATTTATTATGTTAAGTAGACAGTACAATTACTAAATTAGGAAATAGTAACTTTATTTTGAGACGAACAAAAATAAAAAATGACAATCTTCCAATGCGACTGAATAAGTACTTTATTTGTCACTTAAAGTTACTTTATTTTGCCCTCAGCTAAATTTATGAATAATTCGTCTATTATAAATCATATTTATCTACTTATAATTTTATTACTTTTATTGTAACAAATATTAATAATAAATATGTAACTATTTTTTATTTATTCCACTATTTTTTATCAATTATTTAATGCTTGCTTTAATTTTTATCATCGTTCACATTACATATAATTTCCGGTAAAAATACTCACTTCGTCCAAATCTATACACTTATTTTAGGAGGTTATCATAAATATATATATTCTTTTTTAAAAAAATTAAAAAATTATATCAATGTAATCTTTTCCTAAAAAAAGAAAAAAAATCAAAATAATTGGAGTATTTGTTACATACGTTATACACACGTGGGTGTGTTTGTTTGGAGGTTTGGATTTTGAGTTGGGATTTGAATAATAAAAATTTTGAATTTGAATAGTTGTATGATGTGATATAAATAGGGTTTGATGTGATGTTTTGAATGTAAAATTGATTTTTAGTATAATATAAAAAATAAAAAATAGATGTTTGATTTGATATTTTTGGGGGAAAAAAATTGGATGAATAGTGGAAATCCACCAAAATCCTTCAAACAAACACACCCGTAGTGTACAACGTAGCCCATTTTATGTCGATACTTATATTCACTCTTACCTATAAATATGATAATACAATTTAAAAAAAAAACAATTATCTACTTCTGCATCTACTCTCTCACTCTATTTCCATATACTAACACACATATATTTACATATAAGTAATCATTATATATATATATATAAATATATTGTACTCACACGTCACATATATATATATACTTACAAACTATATTATATTATTATATATTATATAACAGTATTATCTTTTATATATATATATATATAACTAACTCATGCCCAAATATTTAAGTATACAGTTAAACCATAGATATCAGCTTTGTTTACCTAAATCATCTTTCCCTTATTTGATTCTATTCAATTTTTGGGAAAAAAAAAAAAGTCACATTAAATACTCAACTAGTTTACTTAATAAATTTACATTTACTATTTAACATTAAAAATATCTTTATATTTGAATATTTTTTTTTTTATAAAAGTCATTCTATTACTATTATAAGATATTAGTAGAAATATTTTTATTCATTTTCCTTTATTTGTATTACATTTTGATACAGTAATTAATATTAAAATATCAACACGCAAAAAATAAATATAAACTTTCAAAATGGACGAAAGGAGTATATATGTCTAAACAGGGCCTACTACTCTAGCAAAATATTTTAAAAACAACAAAAACAAAGACTAAAATTACACAAACCACAATAATCCAACAAAAACAAAGACTAAAATTACACAACCACAATAATCCAACAAATTAGTAATATTTCATGTTCAAAATATTCCATACATATGTTCTTTTTATATATATACATGTGCATGGGCTCTGAAGTACAGTAAAGTGCTTTGAAATGTCCATAGATCCCAGCACACACATACACAGATTAACTAACCTTACTGTGCCAAAGCACTTGTGTTGTACACCAGAAGCGCTCCTCCCGCAAGTATACCCGCAAGCGTCACCGCCCAGATAGCCAACCCGGTAGTGCCTGCACAGTAATTATATTTGTATACGTATAGTTACATAATTTGATACATATGCATATACATGGATGGAAATGAACAAAAGGAATTTGAAGTTTGTGGTGAGCAAACTTACCGCCGACGTAGACTTCACCGCTTGGCGACCACTCCTTCTCATCATAGATTGGGCTGTGAGTTTGAGAAATTACATGACCGCCATTAGATATGTATGTATTAATTTGTTTGTGTGGATTGGATAATTGAAGGTTGATTTTATTCATGTACCTGTATCCATCGACGTTGGCGCCATATTTGTCGACAAATTGGTAAACACCTTTCCCCTGATTTACATATAACAAATTGCATTCAAATCAGGTAAGGAAATGTTTGTTTTGCATCGCCTTTGAATGGATCTAGTTAGAAGATGAATCCATTATAATCTCATCAATTAGTAAACAAATCTGAGTTGGAGATGCTGAAATTTTGTATGTTCAAAAGATGAACAAGTTTCTCAGCTCAATTCAACAATGAAGCAGGTAGCAATTGAGATTAAACTTGAGCTTCGCAGAGTTTTAAAGGAAAATTCAGCTCGTTCGATTGATCTAGACACAAGCATAGTTCAATTGATTACAAATTACTAATTCAACATGACCGAGATCGATAATTCTGTTCTTAATAGTAATCAAATCTGTGTTGAAGATGTTAAAACTTTTTAGGCACAAAAGATAAACAAGTTTCTCAGCTCAATCCAAGGATGAAGTAGGTAGCTATTGAGATTAAACTCGAGTTTTGCAGAATTTTAAAGGAAAAATCAGTTCGATCGATCTAGACACGAGCACAGTTCAATTGATTACAAATTACTACACGAACATGACCGAAACCGACAACGAAGCAGCAATAGCTAAAGAACATTTAAGTTCAACACAAAAGGCGACGTACCCTCCCCTTCCGGCCGGACGCGTCCAAATTGGAAGGTAAACTCATTCCGCCATTAATTCCTGGACACAAGTCCAAAAGAAAACCGATCAAAACAACCGAATCTTCTCAGAAATTAGAACGAACCGTCAAGAAACAACACACAACAATAGAATCAGCACTCACCGTACGGTGTGTCGGTTTTGATCTTCTTCACCTTACTAGCTTCCACTCTAAGGCGACCGGTTCTGGCAAGCGACGGCAGGCCTCTGGCGGATGACCTCTGCACAGTGAACGGAGACGGTTTCAGCGTCACTGAACTCATCACTGTGGTCGCCATGCGCGCTGATCGAGCTTCTGCGAGAGTGAGAAAGTAACAACTGGTAACTGCCTCTGCGGCGTGTTTGAGGACACAAAACATATAAAAAACCAGGGGACTGGCGATTGGTCCACGCGGCAGCGATCCTGTGGCTGGATTTGGATATGATTTTGCAAACATTATCACAATGGCGAGCCCGCGCGCTAACATGAGCCACACAGGTGCAGATTTTTGAGTAACACGTGGATCCCATCCATTGGATGCGTATGTTATTTGTTTGTAATAATAGATAAATTCAAAATTAATTACTCGTCGTTTACGTAGTACTCATGGAAAAGTACTCGTACAAATTTTCTATTTTCATTTGTCTACAAAATAATACTCTCTTCGTCCCATATACAAGGTCCACGTTATCGTTTTTATTCGTCCCACATATACGATACGATGTTATTTTTCTTTTTTCGAAAATGATTACACTCTTTAATCACATTTTAAATTTTTTAATTTTTTTTTAAATTTTTTTAATTAAATTAATTAGTTATTTTAATATTAATTTATAATTATTTATATTATAAAATAATTTATTTTCACTAATACATTCTTAATTCTCTACTAATTACATTCCTCTTAAAATACCGTGTTTACAGTGCAGCAGGTATTTGGGACGGAGGTAGTAATAAATAACAATAAAATAGAATTATATATTATTTTAATAATTTTATATTGTGTGGTTAATTTTGAATAATGAAAATAAATATATAAATATGATTTGATATTTTTTTAAAAAATAAAATAAAATAGTAAAAATTCAAAAAAACTACGGACCAAAGTATATTTGGGCCCAAGTTGTCTAGTGGGCTGAGCACGTAGACCTGAGCCCTCCTAATTTACTTTAACTCAGTTCAATATTGAATTCAATATATGTGTTCGTTTCAAAAAATTTTTGTTTATTTATTTTTAATTAAACTTATTATATTGTAATTCGATTTATAATTAGATAATATTTTATTAAATCAAATAATTAACTACTATATCGAAATTGCTCTTATTTGGCTGTGTTTTAAAAATCATAACAATTTAAATTGAAATAATTTCTTTATAGACACAAAACCAAAATAAATAAAATTCTGAGTGCTTGCTTTATATATATATATATATTAATGATTTTTAAATTTTAAAAAAAAAATACATTTAATTTTTCACTGTATAATGTTTAAAATCAAACTTCAAATTAAAAATAAACTCGAACTACAAACAAACAAAGGGAGGGCGTGTTGTTTAGTGTTAGTTTGAAGTATTATTTTTTTCCATTTTTGTTAATAAAATATATGGAAATTTTTATCAATAATAATATTAAAATGATATTTGTATTGAATTGTAATTTTTTATAATATAAAATATATTATTTATATTATGTGAATATATATTATATTTTTGTATTAATATTCATAAAATTATATCAATAATAATTGATGGTGAACAAACTCTAAACTATATATATTTTCATATAAAATTTGAATAAAACTAAAGAAAAAACAACCATCCCTTAAATTATTGCAACCAACAATCATTCATCTACTATTAGTGTTATGAATTTGGGATAGCTTTAACCATAAATTATAGCATTTGATTGTGTTCTACTCATTTATTTGTCTTGTTTTAATACTTACAAGTGAAACAAAATATTAAATATGATCATTTTACAATAAAGTTGAGATGTTGAATAATAATAATAATAAAATAAAAGAAAATTATACTCTTCAACATTTCCTATACAAGTATCATAGTATTTTTACTTTAAAATATATATTATATTCAAAAAATATATAAAATGTATGTCTAGGTTTGTATTACTCTCTCTCTCATTTAAATTTATGTTCACTTTCTTTTTAGGTTGTCATCGAAAAATATTTTCATTTTTTTTAAGTAAAAAATTATTTTTTTTTTGTATTATTTTTTACTATAAAAGTAAAAATTAACAATTATTACTCATTTTTATTAAAACTCGTGCCCGATCAAATGGACACAGATTTGCATAACGGAAGAAATATTATACAAATATAACTATTTTTTACATTAATATACTTATAATGACAAAAAGATTTTTTATTTATAATTTTTATCGACTATCAATATAATATCATTTCTGTTTAAATTTGTGGCAACACAAATAGAATTATAATTTTAGAACGAATGCCGCTAAGTAACAATATTACTATAATTTAAGTGAACAAATTATAATAGAAATAAAATAAATGCACCCTTTTTTGCGCTGGAAATGATGTGTGGGTATAAATATGTTTAAATAAAATAATAATAATGTCAACCATAATCAATACTTGTACTTCCCGGCAGTGCTGTGGCATCTTTAAATATTGGTCAACAATATTGGATGTGCTTATCTAATACTAATAATAATAAAAGAAAGTTAACATATTTTTGAATTAATATTGTTAAAGAATATAATATACTCTCTCCATCCCCAGTGATGTTTATTTTTTACATATAAATTTTTTAATATTAGTATTATATTATATTGTAGTAAAAAAAAGACAAAAATATCACCATTAATATAGTGTAATATAAAAGTAATGACATTTGTATAATATATTGTAAATTAGAATGATATTTATTAGGTTAAGTAAGTAGTATAATTACTACATTAGGAAATGGTGATCTTGTTTTGAAACGGACGAAAATGAAAAATGACAATTTTTCAATGGGACAATGGGACGGAGGGGTATTATATTTTACATATTTGTAAAAATAATAACTTAATAAAGAAATAGTATATTTTTTATATTATCAATTTTATTTTATTTTATATCTAATACTCCCTCCGTCCCACATTCCATGTCCACGTTGCCGTTTCTGTCTATCTCATATACCATGTTACTTTCCTTTTTTGGAAAATGATTACACACTTTAATCTATTTTAAACTTTTTACTATTTTTTTAAATTTTAATTAAATTAATTAGTTATTTTAATCTTAATTTATAATTATTTATATTATAAGATAATTATTTTTACTAATATATTCTTAATTATTTACTAATTAAACCTTTTATAAAATATCGTGTCTACATTGTAGCAGACAAAGTGCGTAAGATGGAGGTAGTAGTATAAAAATATTTCAAATTAAAAATACTTAACAAACACAACCACTTTGTCTTTTAATTGTAGTATCAAAGTTTAAAGAAAGGATACAAATTTGACCTTTTTCATAGTTTTAAATAATTATAAAAAAACATTTTAGTAAATTATAAATGTATATAATAAACAGTCCCAGTGAGTTCATGTTAGAACATAGCAGTGAATATGAATTGATTCAACATGGTCATATTTCTAACATGATTTTTTATTGTCACATAGTACAATATTTATTACCTAACCAAAATTAATTTTTATTTGAATAAACCCAAATTATAACGAATAAATCAATAAAATTTAATATTGATTATTATGATATATAATGAGACCAAATATATATATATATAATATTTTTATTATTCTCAAAGTTTTCAAAATCTGAAAAACTCTTGTCTAAATCCAAAATATAAAAGAGATACAAATTGTGTACATATACTTTATATACATAAAGCAAATAAATAAAGCCATAATTACATATTAATCCTAATATTAATATAGGCAATTGATATTATATTTGAGGACGGGTAATTAATTGCATTTAACACCCGCGCCGTACAGTTGTGTGTAAGCATTATTTTTTTGAATTGTTGCTGCCTGGCTGCCACTGCCAAATCTGTCAGTCTGTCCTTCAGAATCTCCTACACCACACCAGGCCAGAATCCGGCGCCGGAAAATCTCTTCAATCGCCAACACGTCTGTAAATCCTTTTTTTACGTACTCAATCCTAACCGCCACACCTGATTGTCGTGATTTTTTTGATTGTTTGGATGCCTTTTGATTTCGGAATTTAGCCGAGTCTCGGAATCAATGGGCGGTTGTCAGTCGTCGGTTAACGTGAAGGCCGCGGCGGCGACGACGAAGAAGAAGAGAAGCGATGGTAAGATTGATCGGTCCAAGTCGAGAAGTAACAGCGCCGGTGATTTCGCCGCCTTAATCAACAAGCTGGATAGTGGCGCCGAGGTGGCGGCGGCTTACTTGTCAGAGATGCGGGAGTTTCATCGGATTCCAGGGCGGCTGTATTCGAACGGCGCCAGTCGCATCGCGAGCCTGTACACACAGCAAGGGAGGAAAGGAGTCAACCAGGATTCGATGCTCGTGTGGGAGGTCAGTTTTAATTTCGTAGGTTCATTTTCATAGAAATCGATTCAACTTCGTATGCTGTAGAGATGCTCGTCGATTAGATTAGGTTTTTCGATTGGTAGAACATGATTCAATTTGTTTCTGCGAACAATTATGCGAACGATGAACATCAACATTTCCGTGCATTTTCGCAATTTATAACTTACCTGCAATTGTTTATACGGTAGAATTTGGGGAGAACAGATCGAAACGCAACGTTCTGCGGAGTGTTCGACGGACACGGTCCTTATGGTCACATGGTTGCCAGGAGAGTGCGCGATGTTCTTCCAATATTGCTGCGTTTACAGTGGGAAATCATTCCTCAAAATTGCCATGGATTGGAAGGCAATGGCAGTGATGAAAATGACAACAGTGATAATGACGGCGATGAGATTGTTCCAGATACGCATACGGCGCTCAAGAGGTCAATTCTGAAGGCTTCCGAGTTAATGGATGACGAACTCAAGTCTCATCCCCGAATCGATTGCTACTGCAGCGGCACAACTGCTGTCGTTTTGGTAATGGAGGTACTTCCCTGATCTTGCTTGTGAATTTTATTCTTAGATTCCAAATTCTCAATTTGATTCTCTTGGTAGCCATAGATGGAGAAATTGGTGCTCATGTTGAATCTGTGCATATAATTCTGAGGAATGTTAGTTGATAGATTGTCGAAAACTTGAATGGTCGCTTGTGAAATCCAATCTACGACCCGAATTTCCCATTCGGTTCTTCTGGTAGTCATAGATGGAAAAAGACAGAAACCATATGGTGTTTTAGACAAGCCATTGCCATTGTATTGAGCTTCATAAGAAATGTTCGAGTAGACTGTTGATTGATTAAATCTCTGAGTATTTTCTTCGATCTTTTTGTTGTGCGAACATCAGTTTGATTCCACTGTATTATATCACAATCCATTGCATGGTTCAAACATAACTTGTGGAAGCAAACTAGTTGTTTAACAAATCTGTTGCCCAATTCAAGAAACATAAATGTGATTTCAGGGCCGGGATCTGATAACTGGAAATGTTGGCGATTCGCGGGCAGTATTGGCAACACGAGACGACAACAATGTTCTTGTTGCATTACAGCTTACAGAGGATTTGAAACCAGATCTCCCAAGTACATCCTTCTATCCATTGCTGATTTCTTATGCATGATTATCTTTGAGCCTTCCTGTTTCATCAGACTACTCGATTTCGCGACGAATCTAACCAATTTTCGATCTTTATTTCCAGGAGAAACCACGAGGATACAGAAATGCAGAGGAAGAGTATTCGCAATGCAAGACGAGCCCGATGTTGTGCGCCTATGGTTGCCAGACAGCAACTCACCGGGCCTGGCCATGTCCAGAGCCTTTGGCGACTTCTGTCTGAAAGACTTCGGTTTGATCGCAATCCCGGAAGTTCGTCACCATCGCGTAACTAATAGAGACGAGTTTGTTATTCTCGCCACAGACGGGGTACTAGTATTACTTCAAACATAGTTTGTTCGAATTCTCCCAAAATTGTTTATAACCTATTTGTGGTTTGAAAAGTATATGCACAATTTTGATTTCTCGGGTTATAAGCAATTTTGTCTAAATTATGAGCCGGTTTTAAAGCTTTCTTTCGCTCGACGTCTACGCAGGTGTGGGACGTTCTTTCGAACCAGGAAGCCGTCGACATCGTCGCTTCCTCTTCCTGTCGCACCACCGCGTCTCGAGCTCTCGTCGATTATGCCACCAGAGCATGGCGGTATAAGTACCCGACATCAAAGATCGACGACTGCGCGGCCGTGTGCTTATTCCTCGATCATACGACCGAAGTATGTAATTTTGATCCTCCCAATGGTACCTTACCTAAGGCGGCAAGTTCGACCAACGACTCCGGAGAGATCGTCCCGGCTACGGAGGAAGTCGAAAAGCCAATGCAGAGATCTGCGAGTCGAAGCCTCGCCAACTACATCGCTAGTGAAGACGATGAATGGTTAGCTCTTGACGGCGTTACGAGGTCGAATAGTCTGATCAGCCTCCCGCGATTCTTGCCGGGGCTTCGAAGATCGACCGGCCGGCGACGTCGAAAATGACTGTGAAGGAACCATGCAGCTGTTTTACCGGCGAAAATCTATTGTAGGAATTCATTGTCTCAGCAACTGTTCGTATGTAAGAAATCATATGCAGCTGGATTATAGAGTTTTCGGTTTTTATGTTGGAAGGATGAATTACTTAATATATGAATCTTAAATTATGTTATACTCCTATTATCGTTATTATTTTTGTTTAGAATGTTGAATTTATATAGAACAATCTGAATTGAGCATAGATCTTTACTAATTTAGTGCTATAATCCCAAGCTAGTGAAGTAAGTGAAATTTTTTTGCAATTTTAGTTTTTCAATGCCAAAGATATTTATATGGCATATGCCATGCTCATCGAAGGACACGTGTTTACCGGGTCAAAGATACCTGACGGACACATAATTTTTTTTTTTTAACTATTTAAAAACATTTTAATTTTCAAAATTTTAATTTGTACAAAAAGGAAAAATTAAATAAACTACAATTTTTTAAAAAAAAATACATTAAAAAAAATCAACATATCCGTCATGTGTCATCCGGTAAGTCACGTAGATGTCATGTAGATATCTCCGCCGCCGAAGCACTAAAAATACAAAAAATTTTCGAGATTAGTTTTCAACATACTTCGGTTACAGAACTAATATAGGTCCCGTTGCGGAATTAAAAAATAAGTTTATCGTTTCATTAATTACAAACTCTCGACGACTTCCGATCCACCTGTCACATCAAACTTGCTTATGTGTGACTAACTTTGTCGAGTGTAATTATAAAATGAATTTGATCGAAAATTTACTCACCAATTTGTTTATATTCTACAAAGAAGCTCAAATAAGTTGGAACCGAATAAAGGGTGCGTTTGACAATTAGCTGATAGCTTTTAGCTGTTAACTAATTCAATTAGCAGTTTGTATTAAAATGCTTAGTAAAAACAAGTGACTATTAAGGTCATTGATATTTTATTTTTTAAAATATTTAATTTTATTCATTTTGTTTTGAAATTTATGAGAATTTTTATTATTAATTATAGAATTTTTATTATTAATTATTAAAAATTATAAAAATATTATAAAATATTTATTTTTATTTGTATTATTTAGATCTGAATTTTTTTTTTTTACTATAAACAATAATCATTTTTTATTGAAATTATATAATATATAAAATAATAAATCTTTCGTATATATTTTTATTATGGGTGTGTTATTTTGGGATTTTGGATTTTGAGTTGGGATTTGAATAGTAAAAATTTTGAATTTGAATAGTTGTATGATGTGATATAAATAGGTGTTGATGTGATGTTTTGAATGCAAATTGATTTTTAATATAATATAAAAATAAAAAATAGGTGTTTGATTTAATATTTTTGGGGAAAAAAATTGGATGAATAGTAAAAATCTAATCCGATCCCCCAAACAAACACACCCATGATGTTAATTATTGTTTTAATATATAAATAAATTAATAATTTTTGTTTTTTTTATTTGATATAGCTTTAAAAATTTATATATTTTACAAATAAAATAATATATATGTAATAATTAATAACAGTAATTATTTTAAATTTACAAAAATAAAAAATATAATTTAATAAATTAAATATATTAAAAATAATTAATAAATACTATTATAAAAATATTTATATATATATAAAATAAATAATTAAGTTTTAAGAGTAAATAAGAAATAATCAAAATTAAAATAAAAAATTCTTTCAAAACGTTGGATAGATTGAAATTTTCAAAAATTAGCTTTTTAGTCCAAAAGACTATTTAAAAAAATTAATTTACCAAATACTAAATTAATTTTTTTTTGACAGATCGTTCGTAAACTAAAAACTATCCCAAACACCCTCCAAGTCTCCAATCCTTTAGTATATTTTATTGCTCTAAATTTATATATAAAAGTAATAGCTCAAATATAACAGTAAGAGTGCTTTTTGCTTCCTTTTTTTTTTTTTTTAGTTTGATTTTTACTTAATTTATTTTATTTTTAATTTGAACAATTATTTAAATATAAACAAATAATTATATAATAAAAAAAATGAAAATGAAAAATTTATTTTAGATTGACGCTTGGCGATTGTGGAGTGGAATAGGGACATATAAAAAGGGGGAAGGCAAAGTGCAGGGGGGAAAGGAGAATGCTCTAGAACCCTATTTGAATTCGAGTTAGGGTTTGCGATGGAGAGAGTATAGCTTGAGAGCTCAGAATTTGAATTCAGAGGACGGAGAAGATGGCGTCGTCCTCCAGCAGCGGATTGACGTTCAAGCTGCATCCGCTCGTCATTGTTAACATCTCTGATCATTACACTCGGGTGAAGTCACAGTCGGTTCCGCCTCAGTCCGTCGGCGATGCGTTGTTGCAGCAGCCTCCTCCGCCGCGCGTGTTTGGATGTGTTCTTGGAATCCAGAGCGGTCGAACGGTGGAGATCTTCAACAGCTTCGAGCTTCTATACGACACGGACAATCACTCACTCGATCGGACTTTTCTTGAAAAAAAGCAAGAGCTCTGTGTGTACCTTACCTTTTTCTTTTTGTTTCTATTCATTTGAATTCTTCAGCTCTTGTTTACTGTTTTCTGCGTTGAAAATTATTCTTGTTTGATTGCGATTGCTAGATAAGAAGGTGTTTCCGCAATTTTATATTCTCGGATGGTATTCAACGGGGAACGATGCTCAAGAGTCCGATATGACCATCCACAAAGCAGTGAGTACATCATCTTAGTTTAGTGGATTAATGTTATCTTATAATTCGAGCTGAAATTATGCATACAATGGCCTGTGAAACTATAAAGTGAACATAAAAGCTAATTTTATTTTCCTTAGATTTGTTGCTGTGTCATTGCATATTCAAGATTTCAATGCGCCAGTTGGTATTTAATATAAGCAACTCATGAATAATCTGATTATATTTTTGTTTGTGTCACAACATAGTAAGAGCGTGAGAAAGTAAAGGTTGATGTGGATATTTTCTGAAATGAACTCATTTGACATTATGTACTATATTTGTATCTGAAATGAACGTCTTGAATATTTGTTTGTATGAACACTATTCCAGTTCTGTCCTTTATGTTTCTGTGTCGTAATTATGGCAGATGTTCCACTGTTCTTATGATAAATAAAATTTTCTTAACAGTTGATGGATATAAATGAGAGCCCAGTTTATGTTCTTCTCAATCCTTCAATTAATCCGGCACAGAAAGACCTTCCTATTACGATTTTTGAAAGCGGTATGCTTTCGTTTTCAACTTAATTGTACTCACCATTTCTTGGTGGCTTTTACTTAGGATATGCATATAGTTTTCCCTTGTTTGTGTTCCAATGCATTCTTCTCTTTTTACTGTGCTGTTGCCTGTTCTGAAACTTGATAGTTTGTCAATTCTTGAATACCTTTGAATTTTCTTGATTTTATTTCCAATTAGGGCTTTGCACCCAAAGACGAACTGACCATATCAGTAGGTATTTTAAGTGTGTGGAATATTATTGGAAGCATGTCAGCAATTACTTGACATTGAATTCTCGATTCTCAAAATGCCCACATTGTCTTACGTTTGGAGCAGTTTTCTCATTCATGTTTTTATTGAAATCAAGCAGCCAACCATGTTTCCTTTTTTTGGATTGGTTTACTTCATGTTGCTATGGAATAGGCTCAGCAAATCATGGTTTGTTCATTCATGAACGAAAGCAAGAATAACAGTCATGAGATGTTATATATATTGTTTTTGTAATACTAATCATTTTTATTTTTTTCTTCTTCTTCTAATTTCCATGTATGTTAATTAATAGAGCTGCATGTTATTGATGGTGCTCCTCAACTCATATTTGTTCGCTCAAGCTACACCATAGAGGTAGTTTTGTCTCCTGATTTTTCACATTCTTGGCATGATTGAGATTACAAGAAATAATCACTTCGTTCACTTGCTTACTAGACTGTGGAAGCGGAACGAATATCTGTTGATCATGTTGCTCATCTTAAGCCATCTGATGGGGGTTCTGCGGCAACTCAATGTAACTCTTGTACTGATATTTTATCCAGTTGATCTAGTCCCTTTTGCTAAAGTTAGTGCTACTTTTATCCTCTGCAGTGGCTGCTCACCTCACTGGCATACACAGTGCTGTGAAGATGCTGAATAGCAGAATCCGAGTTCTCCATCACTATCTAGTTTTAATGCAGAAAGGTACATGCCACATTCTCTGACCCCCTTCAAAATTTTTACAGAAGTGCACGATTTAGTAAATTGCATTTGGATTTGGATGGGGAAAAGGAGCCCGTAACATATATTTTTGTGGAACTAAAGATGTTCAGTTTCTCCAAAATTTTCAGCAATGGTGGAAGTCCAGAAAACTCTTCTGTCCTGTTTATCCATGGAATTTTTACTTTTGCTTTCTGTTCCCATGGCATCTGTAGCATCTTTACTGCCATCAATATCAAAACCCGAGAATACCACTGGATTGTATCTCCATTGCAACGTTGATTGAATTAAAATGTTAATCTTACTGGACGTGGCAGGAGATATTCCCTGTGACAATTCATTGCTACGACAAGTATCTAGTCTCTTGAGAAGATTACCTGCCATTGAATCTGAAAAGTTTCAAGATAATTTCTTGATGGTAAGTGATTTCTGAAGGTTCTTGGTTTTTATACACATGATTTACTTGAATACAACTGTTGGATTACTTTTATACTCGAGCAAAAAGCACTTTTTAATTTTAAATTTTTTTAATCAATATTCTATCATTATTGATTTTCCTAATGCTATGTATTTCTGCTTCCCAGGAATATAATGACACATTATTGATTACTTTCCTTGCCATGTTCACCAACTGCTCAAGGTATGTGTGCTAGATAATACCAAAAATTACCTTAAGGTAGCTAGACAACTGATACCATTAATCTTTTATCTTCTCTGTGCAGCACCATGAATGAACTGGTCGATAAATTCAACACAGCTTATGACAGGCACAGTCGAAGGGGTGGGCGAACCCCTTTCATCTAAAAGCTTTTTTCATTTCTTCCCTCCCCCCCCTCACCCCACCCTTAACCCAGTTTCCTTGAGGCCGGCACCATTTACATGTCTAGGTATCCTGTTGGGAATATACCACACAAGTAATCCTAGTAGCTTTTCTGTGTGTAATTTGGTTTTCCAATTTGTTCATGATTTACGGTATCATAACGAATGAGTGAGAATGTAACCCTTACAGCTTCATTCAAAGTTAATAATCTGATCATATCTCTCCAAACTGTTGTAACTCATTTGCCACACCAATTTCTTGCCCTGTCGTACTGCACAGTTTCTTCAAGCTGGAGTGGCTGTGTAAGTGTTGTGGTGTAGATTCTTTTGGTTTTATTATCCGTATCCTTTTCCTTCAATTGTTTGTATTTTGGCTGCAGAAACTAGCTTGCTTTGAATACTTGGAGTCGAGCTGAATCCAAAAGATCTATATTCAAACTGAAGCCGGAAAGGTACGTTGCATCACTTTGTATTTTCACCGTTTTGCTAAGGAAACACTCTTTTAGTGCTAAAATGAAATTTGATGTCCTTATCTCTGCTCAAATTATGCTTTTGGTTCCTTGAGTGATTAGGTGGATAATTGGGCCTAAAAATAATATGTGCTTAAATTAGTCTGTTTACTGTAAGTGCTTTGGATAACAATGTGTCAAATATTTTGATACAAAATTCAAGTGCATTGGATAAATACTTTGCTCGAATTTGAATTTGATGAATACTTGGTTGTTAAGTGAGCCATGTCGGATTGATTCGATAAGATACAATTAGATAAGTAGCCCCAGTAGGATCGATGAAGAGGATGAATTATTTACTGTAGTTGTTAAAAATACAAGTGAATGAAACCAGTTTTTTTCCATAGAAATTTGAGTTTTGAGTTTTAGCTTGGGGCTTAAGTTATTTTTAGTTTTATTTTAATATATGAACTAGTGTTTTCTTGTTTTAAGTCTATTGAAATGTGGTTTGACACAATATTTTGTTGCGTAATCGATATTGATAATCTAAGAAGACTTGTGAATAGATATTACCCACCCCCCTCGCTCTCTCTCTAAAAAATATCAATTTTGTGTGTGAAATTGTCTGTATATGGTTTTGATGATATCGTTTACTTTGCTATAAAGCAAGACAATAATATTCTATTTGGTGACTGAAACCTCATCAATATAATAGCTTTCCTGTTCTTTTGTTCTAATTAGTGTTTTTCCCTTTTGTATAGACATATATATATATATATATATACACTCTTGCGGTGGTTATTTTTAATTTTGATATGAAATAGTAGTTGGATAGGAATATGTTTGCATAAAAGAAGGATATTACATATAATTTTTTATTTTGTGCGAAATTGCTTATAAGATTTTCTGAAAATATTACATATAATTTCTTAGGAATTGTGTTAAATATATATATATATATATATATTTAATAACTACAATTGGATTATAAATAATTTTGCTAAATAATAAAGAAAGGTTTTAGTTTTAGACGCAGGCAGGCACACACGCGTTGAGTTGTGATGTGTGATCTCATAATATATCATGTCAAACTCATTCTTTCTTTGCCCAGTAAGTTGTTGCAATAAATAAATATAATTATTATTATTAATTGACTACAAGGAAACAACACATTGGTCTGCTTCTCTTCTCTTCTCATGAGTTAGTAGTCAGTGATTCTGTTATTACAGCTGTTGTGTGAGGGGCCATTTCATGACATGACTTTCTCTGGCCTTTCCCAACTTCGTTGTCCCAATTATTATTATTACTATTATTCATTTTGTTTCCTATTTTTATCTTGATACGGTTTTTTGTGTGATGTGATATTTTCTCCCTTACAGAGAATATCTGTTTATTTATTTATTATTATCAATAATACTTTATTGTCCTCAATTTAATTTTTTTAATATTAATATTATATTTGTATGTAATAAAATTAAAAAAAATATATTCCCTTTGTTTCATAAGAAACATGTATAATTTTTTATTTACATTTATGACAAGGTTATTATTTCTAAATTTTTTTAGTAATTTTATATTATTAGAAGTGGATCATACTTCAAATTTTTTTTATAGAAGCAGTATTTCGTATATTATATATTAATTAGAAAATCGTCTATGTTTAAAAAACAAACAACTTTTTTTGGTAGTTTAATCTTCAAACTTTTATATAAAATAAAGTTATAAATTGTATTTAAAACTATAAAAAATTGAATTACTTAAAACTAAAAAATTAAAAGTAGAAATTCTGTTTTTATATATTTTTATGGTAATGCTGGAATTGGCCGTTGTTATTTTTTAGGTACAAAGTGGATTAGCTTTGGCTGAATGTAAGAGTTCCCAAACTATGTAAAAAAAATAAATAATTGATACAGTGCTGAATTTAAAATTCTTAAATTCAGTGTTGTTGGATGTATTCACTAGTAACTAATAACACACAAGATATTATTATAGATAGTATATCATCTATATTAATGTAATATAAATATAATATATAAATTAATAGCATCCTAATTCTTTTCTGATAAAAAGTAAAATAAGTTAAACCTTAATAGGCAAGACAGAAATAGCATAAGGTTTATTTATTGTTACTTCGTCCTCGTATAATTGTGTATGAATTTTAATAAAAGTAGATAATCATTGTTATATTTTTTGTCTTTTTATAGTAAAAAAATATTAAAAAATAATGTATTTTTTTGTTAAAAATTGTTAGTTGTTATTGTTGTTTCCTATCTTGTCCATGAACCTTTCCAAGCCATTTCATGTAAATTTTGTTAAATTTCCAATTAAAAATTTTCATTGGAAAATGTATTTGGAATTTATTATTTGCTAAAACCAATTGACACCTTTTAAAACTTCAACCCTTGAGAACTGATCCATATTAATTCTGTCTATAATAATATGAAATATATATATATATATATTCTGTATTTTGGATTTAGTTTTTTGTATTAAAAATGACTAATGAATATAAGATTGTGAATGGAAAATAAACTCAGGACAATTGTAATCGCTTAGTATATATAGTTTACATTTACATGTTATTGAAGTTTGAACGTGTAAATAATATAATTCTTGGTGACAATATTGCAAATAAAAATAAAGTTAAAGTTGTAAATTAAGATTGTGTAATTTTTTTTTTCTGTAAGTAAGAAAAAAGAAAAAAAATATATATTTTAAATAAATAAATAAATCATCTAAATCTGGGGAGGGTAAAAATATTTTTAAATTTGATTGCTTTTCTTATTATTTAAATATAAAAATGTCAATTGGATTAAGTATAGGAATCGAGTGAAATTAATATAATAAGGGGCAAGACAAAGGTGCCAAATAAATGGTGTGTAATAAAAGCATACAAAAAGGGTTCTCTTGTTTGTCCATTTGCACACTTAGACGGCTATTAAGGTTTGCTTTCAATCTAAGTCTCTTTAATAATTAATACAATAGTAATAATTCAACACAATGAAAAGGTATTTAATTTGATTTATTTTTGGTATTATATATATAGTTTGTTTGGTTTGATTTTAAATTAATATTGTTATTTAAATTTTAATTTAAATAGTATTTAAATTCTATATTCTCTATGTCCACTTTAAATGTTTACATCTATTTTTTTTTTTATCTTTAAATATTTATTATTATATTAAAACAGTATAAATTAAATAAAAAAATAAAAATATTTTTATTAATATTTCATAATATAGATATAAATAAATATTTAATATGATATTCTAAATAATTATGTAGTATTCCTCCGCCTTTCTAAATTATGCATTTTTTTTTTATCTTTAATACTTTTTAATTTTTTTATTTAGTAAAAAACTCATCGTTTTTATATATTATAAAATAATAAAAATATCTATTAAAACTTCTGTTAAAAAAGTACAAAATTTGAAAACAGAGGAAGTATACTTATAATATAAATGTTTATTATCATGGTCGAAACAATATTTCAATTTAAAATTTTTATTATTATGTCGGTCAAAATTCAAATCCAAATGTTTTAAAAATACTCTTACTTACTGGGTGGAATCCGTACAGCATATGGAACCGTGTTATTATTAATATTATTATTACACAATAAATATTAGTATATCAATAATTCTCATGTTTGTTCGGCTTCGGTTTAACTTAATCCCTTCTCGGGGACCCCGACGCGGTTTTGTCATTGAAGGTCCCTGGACTTCGGGTCCGAACATGGTAGGAAGGATGTATCAATTAAAACTATTTAGCATTTTATCGAATTTTTAAAATCAAATATATTTAATACATATTTTTAAAAATTCTTTTAAAATTTTTAAGTATTCAATTCAAAATTTTGAATTATTTAACAATTTACAGACTTTAAAATTCCATTGACTAAATCGGATTTTTATTACAAGTTTCTAAGACATTATATTGTAAAATTTTCATAATAAATAGATATTTCATCGCAATTTATAACTTAAAAATATATATATTATTATTCATGTATGTAAGTGATAAATATTACTTATTCATGTATAATATTTATCACTATTACTATATTTTCTATATATATATAAATAAAATAATAATTTAAAACTTAAAACACATTAGTTTTTTTTTTTTTTTATTAAATTACTGTTATCTTTCTTGAGCTTTACTTTTTTCGTCATTTCATTTATGAGTTTTTTTTTTCTCGGTCAAAAGCACCACTAGAACTTGTTAATTTATTATTATTTTTTTTAAAAAAAAAGTTGAATAAAAATTTCACTCAAAATCACTGGGTGTGTTTGATAATGAATTCAAATTTATTCTAACAATATGTCAAAAGATATGATTAATAATCAAGTTATATATATATATTTTACAAAATATCATATTAAAACATTATTTAAATTAAAATTTAAATAATATTTAAATATATTATTATACATACAATTAATATATAAATAACAAAAATATCAAAATTATTTTACATATTTTTATTAATAAAATAAAATATTACTCCTTCCTTTCATTTTGAAATAGTTATTTGGAGTTTTGTAGTAGATTAATAAATAATAGTATTTTATTAGTTAGTAAAAATATATAAAATATTTTGACATTTTTTCCCTTTGACTTTTTTGTATCAAGTAATCGTACGTGCAATAGTATATTTGTAATTTAAGTAAAAATTAAAAATATTTTGATATTAGTATAAAATTATTTTTTAAATAAAAAATAATACTTTGAAATAAGACAAATAAAAATTAAAATTGTTAAATAGCACTTTGAATTG